CCGCTAAATAAAAACCAAATAAAAAAGAATTCAATTTCCATCAATTAATCATTTAATGATAGTTTTATCATTTATGAAAAATAAACTGAACTGCAAAAAAAAAAAATTGGGATGCCCAATGCAAAAATATATAACATTGAGGATTATTCTAGGGAAATCTTACAATAAAATAAACATCTTTAGAGAAAAAGGGGCTCACAAATCTTATTAATTTAACTTCGTAAAAAATATTTTTTTAAAACTAAAAAAAATATTTGAATATGATAAGGCATTTGATTTTAACCTTTAAAAATTATTTTTTTCTCATTTTTTTAATAATATATATAAGCCCTTAATAATTTCATTCAATATCATGATAAAAATTTATCCAAAATTTAATCCGACATAAATAAAACCAACTAAATCCATGATAATTAATAATTAAATCAACTTCGATTCACATTTGTGTAGAAAAACACGTTAATCAACAATCTCTTCTCTTCTCTGTCTTCAAAGAATTCAGAGACAGAAGTATCAAATAGGAAGAACAAAGAGTCATCTCCTTCATTATGTGACACTAGAGATGTAGAAATAAAGCAAAATAGACAAAAAAGAAAGATATTTTGAGTTTTTCCCTCTCCTAAAGCATTTGAACTTAGCCAAGCCAAATTATTTTTATTGCATAGTTTAAGTTAATCGGCATCCAGAGGAGTGATAAAGAAACCAAGAAACTTAAAAAAAGAGTTTGGATTCAAACAAAAAGAAGGTAAGAACACAGTTTGACTAAAATTGTTCTTGATGATTTAAACAAGTGTATGAGACAAATTCCTACTGCAGTCAGCCATGCAGCAGCCACAAAACCAAAATACTTGAAGTTGCAGCAAAAATAGAGAGGCATTGGCAGAGGATATAAATGAAGACAAAACCAAGAATCCAATTCAAATGACTTATGACCTCATCAAATCTTTGGCCGTAACAATCATTTTGCTGCAGTCATCAGAATATTTTCATTGCAAAATTTTCTACTATCTACAACTTATCCCAGTTACCATCAGAAATTATCTTTGTTTGCTGTTCTTCCCATATCAGTTATGCATGTCATTACAAGCTTGAGTCGAACAGAAATCATGCCATGATCTAAGAACTAGCATTTACTGGAATCTCTATGCATGTTACACACACAATAATCCACCTCATTCAGAGAGTATGCCACAAATTCAATCTTGAGTTCAATAGAGAGTTGATGAAATTACAAATTTGAGAACCCAAAATTCATTACGTTCCTGTAGTTGATATGGAAGAAAAGGAAGGCAAAAGACTTGAGTTGCAAATAGGAAAACAGAATTGTAAGCTACATTATTTGGAGGTAGCAAACGAGAATCTAATGGAAAAAGGAAAAAAGAAAATCTTGTTTGTTGGAATCAGAATGATCATTTTCTTCTTCTAAAAAAGAATGTCTTGCCTAATTAACTCCATAAATAAAAGTTCCTTTGGATCAATCGAGTCTATTAGAGAAAACTATCAAAGTTCTGAGGCCAACGTGATCAAAACCAATACTATGCTTGACACAGATTTCTAAGAGACCACAAGCAAATAAATATATTGACTCGGAATGTACTATGAGGCACAATAACCAATACCATCAAGACAGATTCTTAGAAGCAAACACTTATAAACATAAATAAAAAACTAGGAAGTAGATAAAGATACAATCTTAATACTTATAGACTACTTATAACAAAGGCCATATGCTAAGTAAAACTGAAAAAAATGATTGATGGAACAGTTTCAATGATATAAATAAGAAGTAACGATAATTAATAACAAAACATAAAAAATAAGCCCATCTTTTCAATTCAACTATTTGGAAGAAATGGGGAGCAGAAGACCAAGACTTCTTTTATGTTTTTTCTTTTCCTCTTCTGAGACATGTGTTTTCTTTCCCATCCTAACATATGTGTGCAAAAGAGTATCATTTAGGAAAAGTTGTTTCTTCTCATGTGTGCACGCATGCACACATAACATGAACATCGACTGAGGGAAATTGATAGCAGATTCTAGCAATTATATTTATTACTTTAGGGCCACTAATTTCAGGCATTATGGTTTTTCTTCCTCATTGTAGCAATTATTCACAAACATTTGAAGAGTTTAAGCCTCGCTGTATCAGATAAAATTAAGATACCAATAAATATAACAAAAATGAAATTATGTCTCTATTTTTCATCGGAAGAAAAACCATATTCTTCCGTCACCATGTTCTTGCCTTCATAATGAGGCTTAGGCCATGGAAGAGTTCAAAAGGACTCAACCAACAATATCGACAAAGAAAATAAAGGGGGTGACACATAAAGATTCTTTCTAGTCTCAAGAAGCTAATCACTGTACAAATCGATCAGACACTAACTACTAAATCAACCCTTCACCAAATGATCAAGGAAGCCTCTGATCTTAACTGAGAAAGGGGCCTCATGCATGCATGCTCTCCAGATCCATGAAACTACATGAATGTCAGCCACAGAACCGCAGATGTTCTAAGCAAAATAAGATCATTATGACAAACATACACGCACAGTCAGAGCTCAAAGATTAGGTCACCATATCCCCAAAAAAAATGGGTAAAATTAGCAAAATAGAACACAACAACAGGAAAAGAGGATCAGAAATCACGTAGCGATGTTGTTCTCATCACCTGCAGACCCATCGCGCTCTCTATTCCTCCTCCTCCTCCGCGTCTTTGGATTCCCGGTTGCGTCGCCGGGTCGCGAAGGACGGAGAGATTATTATGTACGCGCACGTCATTATAGGCCTCGGATTCAAAACAATATGCATTTGGATTTTCGATGGATCAATGCGTTCCAGATCGAAATAAACGGACGCGATTCAACGAGCGGTCGATCACGATGTCGTCTAATTTGTTTGGGGGCTTCGGAATCCACAATAAGAAACAGCTTACATTAACCAATAGGATTCGATTCAAGAATCTATCCGTGCGCCCATTATATGTATATATATATATATATATTTATATTTATATATATATATCTCTCTCTCTCTCCTCTCCCACTCTCGCTCTGACTTCTCTCCGCGCCTCACTCTGAATTCTCTCCCCGCGCCCTGCGCCTCTCGCCTCTCCTCTGCTCCATTCTCCTCCTCGTTGATTTCCTCTCCTCTCCTAGTCAAGAAACCGTCTTTGGTCGTCCATCCATGGAGCCCATCGACCTCGTACCGAGCGGCTACAGGTTCCTTCCCACGGCGGAGGAACTCTTGGTTGACTACCTCGCCAACTGGGTCGCCGGCGCACCCCTCCCTGGCCGCGCTGTCGCCTTCGCGGACGTCTACGGCACCGAGCCGTGGAATCTTCTCGGCAGCGATCGGCAGGAGGGCTATTTCTTTGCGGAGCGCAAGCCCAAGAACAGCGGCGGCTCGCGCGTCGATCGAAAGGCCGGCAGCGGTTCTTGGACTCTGTACAAAAAGCAAGAAACCGTTAAGTCCATGGTCGGCGGGCGCGAGATGGTGGTCGGGCGAAAGAGCTGCCTGTCTTTCAACGATGGTCGGCGGAAGAACTCCGGGTGGACGATGTACGAGTTCGAGATGTGTTCGTCCGGCGGCTTCGAGCGACGAGTTCTCTGTCACGTCAAGAGAAGCTCGCATTGTGCCTACTCCGGCGGCACCACCATCAAAACGGTTGAGACCACCTTAACGGAGGCCGCGACAGACACGGTCACCGGCGACAGCTTCGTTGGGCGGAAGAGAAATAGAGACGAATCTTCTACTCTCTCGGCAAAAGCATCGACTCTCTCGAAGAAGCCATGCTGGGAGTTGGTTGCACATCCCGGCAGAGCATTGCAGTCGGACGTCTCACCACATCCAACCGCGGTGGTGCAATCCGACGTCTCACCACCTCCAACCGCGGTGGTGCAACATCCCTCATTGGCTCCTGCTGTGACACCCCCACCCCCGGAGAGTCATCTTTCCTCTGTCGACTCCGTTGCACCGAACGAAGCCGGAGTCGCAGCCGCCTCTCCATCATCAACGGACGTCGGTGGAGGTGAGCTCCCGATAACTACGGAAGAACTGGAAGCATTCTTGGCTTCGTCTTCGTCGTCGGTCGATCTTGGCGGTGAGCAGAACTGCACCGACGATGCGTTCTTCGCCAGAGAGGTTGAAGCCTTCCTGATGTCGGATGACACCGACACAGCCTTGACTACCATCCCGAAGGCCTCACCGCCGGGCTTTGTCGATCTTCTCTCGATGCCCGATGACACTCGGATTGATTCGACCACGGTCGCAGATGTTTCCTCCTCATCGTCGTCGATAGACTTTGTTGCGTGCGAGCATATGCACAGCACCGACGATGACTTCTTCGCGAGCCTGGAACGGGTCTATGCCTCCTTGATGTCCGATGACACGATTCCAGCCTCGGTGATGTATGGCACCAGCACTGATTTAACCACGGTCGCAGCGGCTTCGTCGTCGTCATCGATCGACATTGTTGGGTGTGAGCAGACGGAGATCATAGATGATAATTACGACTTCCCTATTGATTCCACTATGGCCTGGTGGTTGGATTTGTAGCTTGCTTGTATGAAAACTTATACGGAAAATGATGTTTGTTCATGTATATCATAACAATGGAAGGGAAAGAAAATTTTATGTTCTTGTAAATATTGGCCATAACAAAGTTCAATTTTCATCTCATGTTTTGTTTGTTGTTTCCTTAATATGATGGCATCTATAAGAAATGGTATCAATGTTGTTTCGTCAAGTTCGAAGAGAAAGAGTGATCATATGATATCAACAGGTTCTCTCAACCTCAGACTTTGCTAGTTTGGACGACTGGTATCAGAGGCAAGGCAGCAAATTTGATCAATCATATCTTTTGGAAACATGTTCCAACTTTTTTGTTTCCGAGTGAAGTCCACAACAACAACAGAAACAAATAACAAAGTCATAAATCCCAACAAAGCTGCAAGTCAATCCATCACTGAATCCCAACCACAAGTGTGCACTGATACCATATAAAACCTTTGATCAGAACCACCACTAAAATTATCATTGAATCGATAAAGAATTGCATGGTTTGAAGCATTTGACAATGGTCAAAAAAAATTCTGAATTATCAACTGATATGCAAAATATTAAACACACATATCATGGAAGGAAATGTATTCTCTCCGAAAGAAGAACGTTTGCCTGCATCATGTTAAATTAAACACACATACGAATCTAGAGTATCATGGAAGGAAATGTATCTTCCTTCGTGTTAATCTAGGACTAGTATAAGCACATAAATCAGAAGAACTTTGGTTTTCTACCTGCCGAAAGCCTATCAAGAAAAAATGTAATCCTAATTCTTTTTGCAAAAGTTTTAGCATTCAAATTCTTCTGATCACTCTAGGATTTAAATCTCTAGAGGCAGAATAGGAGATTGGAGTAATCTTCTTCCTCCGTTGGGGCATGAATTGTAACATGATCCGGCAAAGGAGTCCTGGGGCTCTGCTTTTTCTAATTTATATGTTTCAGGCTATTCATCTCAAGATTTCAACTGATTGAACCAACATATATTAGGGTTTCATACCAACATATATTCATCCCCAGCAATCGCACAAAGCCCTCTGTTGTTGACCTTCTCAGCATAGAGTTCTATACCATTTTTTGGAAAGTTGAATCTTTTCTAGACCACAAAAGTCAGCTCTAATAATGCTCGGAAACTTGGATCTTTTCCGGAAAGTTGACCTTCTCCCCTTCTCACCATGCACAATTACGATACGAATTATATACAATCTAATCCAAGTCCAAATCGAGTGTACTATTAAGGCTTAACATAGATTGAAGATCGATACCAAGTACGTTTTGGGTCCTGGTGGCTCTAATAATGATCTCGATCCGCATCGGTGTGACGTGGACCTCAACACTGGAGTACCCATCCTCAGCTTGGCGATTCTCTTCTAAGGACCTCACTAAGCTCTGCAAAGAACACAACATCATCAATAAACTAGAACACGGGAAAATAAAATCCACAAAGCGTTAAAATAAGAATCAAAGAAATGTTTAACGTAGAGTTGGAGGAGATATTGGGAGATACTTGAGTTAGGGCTTCACGGCAACTCACCTTTCGCTTCTTACTCATCTGAGTCGCCATTATTGTATATTTGAACGAGGAGATAGGTCCTCTGGGAAATGAAATCAAAGAGATTTGGAGGGAGGGTTTTTATTATGGTTTTTTTTAGGACAATTCAGTTATTAAAAGAAAATTCTTATTTTTTTGCATAATAATAATTATTATTCTTTTAAATTACATCTCAAAATTGGTCGCTTGCAAGGCTCAGGGGTAGTTTGGTATTAATGTTTAAGGTGGTTTACTTCGAGGAGTACCTACCCTAAGATGATTTCAAGATGGTACCTGTACCAAGATTGATGTGGGATTAATTGATCAATCTTAATGAAATCTTTATAATTAATCTTAATCTTATCCAACAATTGATGTAAGATTAATCGGAGTATGTCTCCAATGTGATTCTGAGTTAATTTTAAAATAATACCTACATCAAGATCGATGTTGAGGAAGATTTCTTGATTTGCTCCCTCTAACACTCAAGTTAGTCTAAGAATTATTTTAGCTTTTATACCTAGTCTATATAAGGGGATAACTTACAATTGTTTTGACGTAGACAATAGGAGGCAGACCCAATGATACCTCTTGAGGTGAAGAGTAATTAAGATATTCTCTTTTAACACTAATCGGTAATAAATATCAAGTAGTGTTTAGACACCAAAATATTTTTTATCAAGTGTATATAATGATTTAAATAAAATAAAATACTCATATATATATATATATAAAGAATGGTTAAGTATATACTCCAAAATTTCATATGGAGTTTCCTAAAAGAGTATAAACTTAGGATTCAAAGAAATGGAAAAACCAAAATTGGGGGAAACCAGCGGGATTTATCACAAAATCCCACCTTTTATCAAATTGATTAGCGATAATTTGGTTATTTTTTGTCAAAAGAATTCTTGATTTGATCACATATAATCACCTAAAGATTTCCACCAACACACTTAATTTTTTTTCCATTTTTTTTAACCATGGATTTAGTTTAGTTTAATTTTCGAATAAACATCTGTCATTAAGTATCTAAATATAAATATTTGTAGTTAGTAACGCCTTTTTTTTCTTTAATTTTTCTCTTAATATGAATGTAAAAAAGAAAAAAAAAAAAGGTATCAAGTTCTTGACGTTTCTGTTGATACCGCGGAGTAGTCTATGTCGGGAAAACCAATCAGCACATAGGCGAAACGTGTGACGTTTTCTTTCACAGGTTACGGTCAGTTAAATGAGTCCCGCGGGGCAGATTAACACTCGTCATATCAATCAAAGATTTCGGATCACGTGTCATGGCTCAGAAACACATTAGGTAAATAACGTCGTCTAGTTGGTGATTAGTAGGATTCCATGAATGAAACTATGGGTCCCGAGAATTTGGACCAGTTAGAATTCGTCTTTCCATGTTCTGGCTTCAGTTGATCCGGACCGCTGATTGGATTCCCAGCTGCCTTTGATCAACTCACTCATTTGCCGTTCAATTCATCACTCAATGGCTCAGATCGAATAGGGTGGATTTCCATCGACGACACACGATTTACTACACGACACGACGGACGTGGCACTAAAAGGTGGTGTCGCGACGTTGCGCGTAAGACCTCCTTTCGTACCTTAAGTCGTACTTCTTAGTCGTCGAGTGAAGTATTTCCGATCTCTATCCCCACCGCGACGTCTTTCGACTCCGCCCCTCTCTCTCTCTCTCTCTCTCTTTCTCTCTCTCCTCCTCCTACTCCGAGTTCCAAAGGTACGTTCCCGACTCGATTCGCTCGATTCGCTCCGTTCGATCATATGTGCGGTTCTTGGATCTCGAACCCGCGCGGTGATTTTTAACAGAATCTGGGAATTTTTTCGCTCTTTATATCCGATCGATAGTATTTGGCTTCTTTTCTTGAATTGCTATTCACGGTCTTGTTTAATTCTTCACGTAGAAGATTTCGCACCGTCACAGATTTCTCTTTTTTTCCCTTCTCGGGGCTATTGGCATCTGCGTCAGATCGTGAGGCCGGAGGTTATTTTGAGGGGTTTTGTTTGGGTTTCTGCTCATGTTGTCTGGAAATCTGGGGTTTTTGGTCCTAAATCTGAACAATTTTTGTTGTCTGTTGGCTTTTGCATGTTGGTTTGTCTGTGGATCTGGTCTTGATTTTGATTGGGGGAATTCGGATCCATGTTTCAGATTGGTGGTCAGTAATTAGTTTGTTATTACAAATAATTTATGCACATCTGTTTTGTTGATTTCTTCAAGAAACATGCTAAATATTTGATTTTGCTTCTGTATGCTTGAGTTTTTTATGCTTCAACCTCTCTTGCTTTCAAGAGAGATTCATCAACTATGCTGGCTTCCCTTTTTGTCATTGACCTAATTGTGCTATCCTTTGTTGCTAATTATATCGTGTGAATTAACTCACTCATGCAGTTTCTCTATTTTACATATTTGGATGCTATTTTTCTACTCAATTTAGGGATGTTATTGTATTCAATCACAATTTATTTCTGGTGTCGGTGATCTTACTTTTATTTCTTCAACTGAACTATGGGGTGCTTTCATTGTTTTGGTTTATAACTAAAAAAAAAAAAAGTATGTTCGGATAGTTACCAATGGTAGTTATATTAAGGTGATAAACGATATGTGTAATGGAGTTGTTACCAGTGGTAGGATAACTTACTAGATGTATTCAAGAGAAGTTCCTTTGGTGTCGTTTTGTGTTGAAATATTTTTATTCGATGAGAGTCTGGTTATGACTAATTCTAACTTGGACAATGGAGATAAAGCTATAGAAACTTAGGTTTTTGTACTAAGTAGAATTATAATCAAACATATAAACTACAACTTTAGCAATACCAATAATGGAAGTGAGGCTATAGTTGGAATAGATGATTGAAAAATTCTCACAAGTGAAAGTTATGGATGTATTTGATCTATTTTCAACTAGAGGGAAATATTAATGCACAAACTGGCTATAGAGTTAAAACAGGATAGTCAAGGCAGCTAGGGGCATGAAAAGTATTATATGATTATCTTGTGCCCCTAAGATTAAAAGAAATTTTTTGTAAGATTTGTGTATTATTAGTATATGGAAACCCTTTTGATTTTCTTTTGTGTTGCCAAAGAAATACCACTAGGGCAATAATGTTTCTTCCTAGCCACATCAACTTGAGACCTAAAGTTTCAATATTCTTGGATATTTTACCAAGGCTGCATTTCTCCAATTTTGCTGATACATGTCCATGAAATGTCGGATATTATGAGATGTATTAATAGGAGGTAAAATCTTGATATAATTTGTCTTACTATGCATGCTAATATGTAATGAGAGATTGAGTCAAGAGAAAGTTGTATATTCTAGCTTCATCTTGGAAACTTGGCCATTTAATTTATGCTTTGCTGTACGATGGTGTAGCTTGCTTTACTTTTAACAATGGCCCAACAATCTTATATTCGAACATCCTCGAGGATAGACCACATATGGTAAAATGGACCTTGAAGATATGACCAACCAAAGTGGTCTTCTGAGGAGATGTAATCATGCAGTTTATTGTTGATTTTAAGGACCATTGCAATTGGATTAAAGTTGAAGATCCTTTGACTTGATGTTCCGGTAACGGTTCCTTGAGAATTTGAGTAATTAACAGCATGCAAAGAGAATCTAGATGTGGTTAAATTGTGTTAAATTATGTGTTGTTGATTAATTTTCATTAATCATACTTATTATCTCATTTTTTTGCAATGTGAATTAGCAGGTCAGTCACAAAATAAACTGAAAACAATCAGGTAAATATGCAACCCAGGGGGAAGGAACAAGCAAATTTTCCAGGAAGACCTACCTCACCGTTTCTAGCAGCTCCACAATCTTCAACACCTTTCAGATCTCCAGGACCTGTTGGTGGCATTGAAGCATCTGGTCCTTCTCGAGCTACCACCCCCTTTGTAACTTCGGGTCCCATGACTGGCTTGGGGGCATCAGGTTCTCCACAAAATATGTCTCCATTCTTATCCTCCGGACCTGCTATTGGCACACAACCTTCTAGCTACAGAGCACCACCACCATCTATGAGGTCTAATGGCCCTTCGAGTCCTCCTACTTCATCTTTTTCAGCACAAGATGCCAGCACTTATCAGCAATCACAGGCCCTAGGATTTCCTCCAGCTCCCATGCATCCTCCTCCTATTGGTCAGCCACATATGCCTCCAAGTGGAACTTTTCGTCCTCAGTCCCAAATTCCGGTGGTGCCAATGGGTCCTCCTCCTCAAAGTTCATCCCAGTTGACATCAAGAAGCAATATGCCACCGTCATCAGGGTCTGTATTTTCTGCACCCAGAACACCACCTCAGCCATTGTTGCAGGGGTATTCCAATGTTCCCCAAAGGGCTAATGTTCCCCCATTTCAACCAGATTCACAGTTTCAAGCTTCTAGACCAGTTTCCCAACCACTAATGCAGGTCTATCCAGCTGCCCATGTTCCTCCCACACACACTTCTCAATATCATGCTCACCAAAGTCTTGTACCACCACCACCTCCAGTTGGAGGTCCTATGGGTTTTAGTTCAAGGGAACAACTGCAGCATCCTTTGACAGGACCTCCTATAGGAGGTGTTCAAGGTCTGATTGAAGAGTTTCAATCATTAACTGTTGGATCGGTTCCTGGGGCTCTTGATCCTGGAGTTGACACCAAGTCACTTCCAAGGCCACTAAATGGAGCTGAAGAGCCAACTAAAATTCTTGAGGTGTACCCTTTCAATTGCCACCCACGATTCATGTGTCTGACAACTCATGCAATACCAAATTCTCAGTCATTACTTTCTAGGTGGCATTTGCCTCTTGGAGCAGTGGTTCATCCTCTAGCTGAAGCTCCTGATGGGGTAAAAATACCGTGTTCTGTTTATTTTTTGAACATGCACCGGCTCTTATCTATCTGAATGTCCTGTCAACTATCTTCTTTCAGGAAGAGGTACCAATTGTGAATTTTGGGCCAGCAGGCATCATTCGGTGCCGAAGATGCCGAACATATGTAAATCCATATGTGACATTCACGGATGCTGGAAGGAAGTGGAGGTGCAACCTTTGTTCTTTGCTCAATGATGGTATGCAAATCCTTCTGCTGTCTGATATCTTACTAATCAGTTTTGTGTTTATGCACATCTTTGCTCTTTTTGCAGTGTATTGATACTTCAGTTTCCAGTATATACTTCTATATGTTTTACACTCATACTTCACAAGATGATCACTGGCTTATCTAGAAAATAGCTGATCTAGTGATATGACAGCATAAAACTTACATCCCTTACATCTGATCTTCCCTTGAAATTGATACGTTTTATTCATGTACCATATGATACCTGAAATTAAATGGGTTATCTACTTAAATACGACTGAAGAACTTAAGGATTTTAGTTTTCTGATCTTTTTTGTTAACCATGATATAATTATAGTGCACTTAGATATTTTATTAATTAGCAGCTTCAATCTTTCTTGAAGGTGCAATTGAACTAGCGTTGCATTTGTGACTTCACCAAAGAACTATCTTAACAGTTAGCATTTGTGAATTCAAAGTGGGATAAGGCTATTTGTCTTAATAAAAGATTGACCCCTAAGATGTTGAAAGTCATGTCTAGGTAAATAGAAACCAATAGAGATGGAGATTATTCCAAGTTTAATTACTCTTGCACATAGGACAACTTCATCCATTAGAGGTCTCACCCATAACTGGTGTACTACAAAGAGTAAACAGTTGTCTTCCGATCTGGCAGCAGTTTTAGTTGCATGCTATGTTGGACAAAATTTTTAATACTTCAAATTCTGTAGGTAATTCAGTGACAACATTGCAACTAGACAATCATTCTTATGCTCATGATCTGGAGGTTCTAGGAAAATCTTTATTATTATTACTTAGGTCACTAGAGTTCACTGATCTGATATTTCTTTGAACCTGCAAATTTCTATTAGGTCAAGTTAGTATTTGTGATAACTTAAAATAAAGATCAGAACATTTGATTATCCTGACCATGAGATTACTGCATATAACAAAATCGGTGTACATTGAGATGGTGTATATAATAAGAGCAAGAAAGATGTGCATGTCTATCAGCAAAAACTAACTGCAAATTAGTGGGCAGTGTTGGTTAGAAAGACTGTCATGTCTGTATAATTGAACTGTAGAGTATGGAATTGTGAGAAACTAGATGTGTGAAATCTGAAAGCTCAATGCACTTAAGCTTCAGGTATCTGCTTCTGTTACTTGTCTTGGATGGTGGAGCATGTATTTCTTTGTCGGAAATGGGTATTGATCCTTATCTTGCATAAGCTGCATCTTTTCTTTCTGTTATAGTGGGTGACACCCGTCCGTGGACTTTGTTGAGTTTATTATCTTGAATAAATACTATAACCTACTCTTGGTGAAGGGTGAATTGAGAACTAATGACAATCTGCTGCCGGAACTGATATCCTTTTTGAGAAAAATAAGTATCAGATATTTGTTGGTGTAAAATAAAGGAACAAATATCCTATATTTTGCTATCATGTTACTGACATAATTTGGGTATTGTGATGATGTAGCCATAAGGACATGAAGAGCTACTTAAGAGCTCCTGTGAATCAACATATCTACAAAATAAACAAATATGCCTGCTGTCCAGAATATTGAGCAAGCTATTCTAAGTGAAAAACTAGCGAATCTGTTAAAACTCGAAGCTGATCAACTTCCAGTTAATATAGATGCAAGATGAGACCAACATCTTGTGTTTTAATGTCAAAATGCTGAAAAATTAGCAGTTGTCACTATGAATAGAAAAAGAAAACACTAGTAGAGATGAAGAAAGAATGCCTAGAGGAACCAAGAAGCCTTTAAACTTGTATATGAAAAACTAGGGACATATGCCTTTTCACCCAACGTTTGTTGTTTTGCCCAGATTGGTACAAAACGGCTGGCACATACTTGTTCGAGCGTTGATCGGTACGTGGACCCACCTCGGTCCAACCCATCGTATAAGTTTCCCACTTCTCACGCGAGCGCCGCCTCCGCAGCGCTTGCGAGAATTGCCTCTAATGCTGCTATCGATGGTGACCTTCGCTTGCTGCGACCTCACTGCATCGCCACATCTTAGGTAAGGTCTCGTGTCCTCTTCCTCTTCATCCTTCTTCCTCATTTGCTGCTTCCTCTTCTTCCCTCATTCATCCTCCTTCCTCCGTCCTCCCTTCCTCTTCTCCCTTTTCTCTTTCTCTCCAAAATACTGGTACTTACTGGTGTATCGTGTGTCAGTACACTGGTACAAATCGGTACGTGCCCTGCTGTTGGCTCAGACTGATAAGGCGAACCTTGTTTTCACCTTTTGTAAACCTAAATTAAATCGTAAACGAAGGAAAGGGGAGAACTGCTGGGGGAGGATTTTCATCCTTAGAGGTCTGAGTTCATCAGCCAAGAGATATTTTCTCTAGCCGACTATTTATGCTAGGTGGAATTTTCACCTGTGTGTCTCCTAGACAACTTATTTACTCCTAAATGGATTTAGATCTTCTAATCTTTGGCCATAATATGTTCTAGACATAAGTGAACACCTAAGTATAAAAGCTGAAGAAACTGTACCTGAGCTTATTTGGAGTTTCTGAATTCAGATATGCTACCCAACCGAGCATCATGGAGTCATCTTGATGCATCATGTTATCACAATGCTTTTACTGTAACAGGGTGAATTTCATTGAAGGGAACTGCAAATCTGTAAATCAAGAGCAACATATGTGCTACAATGCCCAAGGACATGCTGACTGAAAAAATGAATTATTGTCAATGGAAATGGAATGCACAAAAATTGTCTTTTCAGTTCATTCAACAGGCATGTGATCCTGCACTTTTAAGTATCAGAGTTTGGAATAGTCTACATGGATTGTCCAAGTTTCATATTCTGTAATGAAGATATACCATGGATGTCTCATGATATTTGAAAGTGGGGTTGGTGAAGCCAACGTAAACTAATTCTACGGAGGTAGTACATCAAGAAGCACTGAATTAGCTTAGAGCTTCCTGCAAGGACATGGGTAGGAGATGCTCTGTTTGATGACTGTTTCTGTAAATATTGGCTTATCTATCAGCAGACATAACATATTAGTAAAAATTGACTGTAAAATCTTTCAATGTGGTCACTTTTCTTTGTTTATGAAAAATTGTAAAGTATAGCTTGATGATTCAGACAGGCACACATGCAAAGCTTCAGAAACTAGATTTGGCATAAGCTTGGTGATATAATCCAATCATCTAGATATTTTATTGTGATTGACTAAATTTTAATAATAATTGAGACTGCTATGAGCTAGCTAGCCAGTACTTGTCAAATATTTATGCTCCATGTTTCATGAATTTTGTATTTTCATAACCTATAAAGCATTTTTATAATGTAGATGTCTTTACTAGTTGATGTTTAATGATATCTCATCCTTAGGTCTCTTATACCTGGCATATCATCTAATTAAATATAATTTTCTGTTATCAGAATTACACTATAACTAGGAGTCACGACCATGTATATGCTAGGTTTTTGGGGTGGGATCTAAAGTGTCTCCCTTATAGTTTGGTTTTAAGAAAACATGTCTTCTTTCTTGTGCGCCCAAGTCGTTGCTTCTGGAATAACCCTTTGTTTATGAATATCTTCATCGTTCAGTGCCTGGAGAGTATTATTGTGCTTTGGATGCCACTGGCAGAAGATGTGATTTAGACCAAAGACCTGAGCTGTCCAAGGGTAGTGTAGAATTTGTTGCTTCAACAGAATATATGGTTCGACCGCCAATGCCACCTCTATATTTTTTCCTTATTGATGTATCAGTATCTGCCGTTTGTTCTGGTTTGCTTGAGGTAATGTCCAATTTGTAAGGTTGTCTTCATTTCCTGAATTCTTTTCAAGTTCTGATTTATGATAATTTACTTTATGTTTAACATTTACCAAATGTTTTGCAGATTGTCGCAAAGACCATCAAGTCCTGTCTTGATGATTTACCGGGCTTTCCTCGGACACAAATTGGTTTTATTACTTTTGACAGCACATTGCATTTCCACAACCTGAAGGCAAGTGACGTTAAATTTGAAAGTTGTGTCATAGCTAGTTGTTACAAAGGAACATGTGCTCCTGGTGCTGTTTATTATTGGATGCCTATATTTTCCTTAAAAGATAATTGCTTAGGATGATTAGACTTGTTATTGGTTAACTTTTTGTCTTTGGCCAGTCTTCTCTGACACAGCCTCAAATGTTGGTGGTAGCTGATCTGGACGATGTATTTCTGCCCTTGCCTGATGATCTTCTTGTCAACTTGTCTGATTCTAGGCATGTAGTGGATGCATTTCTAGATAGCTTGCCCGTTATGTTCCAGGGCACTTCCAATGTGGAATCTGCCTTTGGTCCTGCTCTTAAAGCAGCATTCATGGTTATGGTAAGATGTTCTTCACATTATTTTTATTCATTTTTGTCTTCCCAGTAAGGGTTATGTTTAATGCTTCATTTACTAGTTTATGTTTTACCCTTTCTGACAGAGTCAACTTGGAGGGAAGTTGCTGATATTTCAGAGTACATTGCCTTCTCTTGGTGTGGGCCGCTTAAGACTTCGTGGAGATGATCTTCGAATGTATGGGACTGATAAAGAGCATACTTTAAGATTACCTGAAGATCCATTTTATAAGCAGATGGCTGCTGAGTTTACGAAGAATCAGATAGCAGTGGACATATATGCTTTCAGTGAAAAGTATTCAGATATTGCTTCTTTAGGTGACAACACTCAAAATTGTTTGCCCAATGGTTATGTAGAAATTTATCATTTCATTTTTATTTATTTGTTCTTCTTGTTTCTGCAGGATCTCTGGCCAAGTATACTGGTGGCCAGGTATATCATTATCCATCTTTCCAGACTGCTGTTCACCAGGAGAAACTTAGGTATGAGTTGGCCAGGAATCTCACAAGGGAGACTGCCTGGGAAGCTGTAATGCGCATAAGATGTGGGAAAGGTCATTTGATAGAACACCTCTATTTTCAATACTTTCTTTATGCAATTTCTTCTGTAAGCATGATTTTCTGAGAAGTCCCATTTTGCATTTCAGGGGTCCGCTTTACAACTTATCATGGACATTTTATGCTAAGGTCAACTGATTTATTAGCTCTTCCTGCTGTGGATTGTGACAAAGCCTTTGCAATGCAGTTATCTTTAGAAGAAACCCTGATGACAACTCAGACTGTATACTTTCAAGTTGCCCTTTTGTATCCTTTGCTTTCTTGGTGCATCTAGGACACTTTGCCAAGCATGATTACCGAATGTTTTAATTCTCTTTTTTAACCCTTATAAGATGCAAATTAATTACAATTAAGAAACAAAGTTAAGCATAGTCACCCTTACTTTTTACTTCTTTTTGAACTCTTGTAATGTACAAATTAATTGTAATTAAGAGATAGAGTAATGGGTGAAAACTATGGACATAAACTTGAACTCAGACAAAAAGACACTAGAAAAGTCATAATGATGTTTTTTTTTTCTATACCCCCATAAACACTTCTATCTCTGTGCAAAAATATTGTCACCATCATCCTGAGGCTTATGAAGAATGAGGCTGCTTCCTTCCCAATAGCTCCAAGTTCGATCATTTGCCTCTCATCGTACTATCCATGTTAATGATTGAATTCTTTCATCTTATCATAAGAATGGAGGATTGTTGTGTTTGAGTCTTTGTAGTCTTCTATGTCCTTCACACTCAAGTTGTGTTTCTAAATGCAGTATTGCATTTAAGGATTTTCATTTCATTCATCAAGCTTTAAGTAGACTGTGTATAAGTTTGACTTGCTAAAACAATTATTATTAGGCTTGCAAGTTACTAATGTTAAGTTGTCTGTGATATCTTTTCTTGCTGTACAATTTGCCTTCATCATCAGTGTGTTTCTTACATGCCTTGTATTCAGTTTCCCATACCTTAGCAGTAGGTCAGTTCATGGAAATGGAGCTTCTAGGTTCATTAAACTTTCTTGATCATCTTGAACTATGCTCAAAAGTTCCTCTGATGTGAAAGAAAATTTCTGTGAATCCTTAGCTATCAAAGATATACTTCCTCATCAGGCGAGAGACGCATCAGAGTCCATACAGCAGCTGCTCCAGTAGTAGCTGATCTTAGTGAGATGTACCGCCAGGCAGATACCGGAGCCATTGTTTCTTTGTTGGGAAGGCTTGGTAAGTAAAAAATATTACATATGGATTTCTTGAAATATGCATTTCAAAAATCAACTTCTATGTAAGTTCTTATGCTAAAAAATCCTGCAGCAATTGAGAATTCACTGTCACAAAAGCTGGAAGATGCTAGACAGTCATTGCAGCTGAAGCTTGTGAAAAGTCTTAAAGAATATCGGAATCTCTATGTTGTCCAGCATCGGTTGGGCGGGAGATTGATATTTCCAGAGTCTTTGAAATTCTTGCCATTGTATGTGTTGTCTCTTTGTAAGTCTGTAGCTCTTCGTGGAGGGTATGCTGATGCTCTTCTAGATGAACGTTGCGCAGCTGGTTACAATATGATGATATTACCTATAAGCGGGATGCTTAAACTTATCTATCCTGACTTATTTAGGATAGATGAGAACCTTCTGAAGGTATTTGTTTCCATATGTTCTTTTCTTATTGTCGATTATGTTTCTTTAAAAAGATCTTAGCCTGAACTGCTTGTAACTTGTTGAATTCTAATAAATCTTAATATGCTAAATTGAAAAGCAGATGTTCGGTAATTACTGATTTGAAGAGATGAAGTTTTTGAAAAATTCAAAACTGATGTATTATCATGTTGCTCTCATTTCAGGCATGCTTATTCAATTGTTTTTCTTAAGAACTTCTTACACACAGTGTCATGGCAAGTGGTTTGAAGCTTCCAAAATACAAGGCATCTATTATGATAACTAACCTTTTATTTTTCCTCCTTGCAGGACTTTAAGGATGGTCAGGAACCACTGAGACAGTTACCACTATCTGCCCAAAGTTTAGATCCTAAAGGTGTTTACGTTCTGGATGATGGATTCAACTTCATTATTTGGTTGGGCAGGATGCTCTCATCTGATTTGTTAAATAACATAGTTGGTGTTGAGTTAGCCAGCTTCCCCGACCTATCTAGGGTACATTGCTAAACTTTATTAGGCTTTTGGTTATGCTGTTTAAATTAATAATGCAATTGTATGCTCGATATGAACTAAAATTCCTTAAAGAATATTTTATGAAATATATGTCACTATATGTTATTAGCATATTTAATTAGTGAAGAACTGTTTAAACTGTTATTAGCATATACGTCCACGATATAGCTCCTGCACATGACGGCTTACAAGTTTTGAGTCAAAATGAAACTAGAGTAAGCAGATATCTGTTGGGTTGAGATGCAAACAACTAACATGCAGATAATAACCTCATTAGTATATAATTGTGGACTTTGGCTTTTGGAACTTGAGATCTTGCTGATCTGGATTGACCACTTCAGTAGGTGGACATGAATTTACATCACCACACATTAACAGAGTTTCAATAGTTTGCAGACCAAGTATGATTTATTTTTTTAAGAAATGATGCCTGTTATAAACCCACCAAAGGCGAGGATTGCAGGGATATTTTGTGTTGGTCATATGACATGCTATTCTTTCTGTAGCCTGACATCTTTTTGTGCTGCAGGTTGTGTTGTGCCAACATGACAATGAGATCTCAAAAAGACTAATGAGGATATTGAAAGAATTGAGAGCAAGGGATCCTTCCTCTTATCAGTCATGCCGTCTGGTAAGGCAGGGTGAACAGCCAAGAGAACTGTCCTTGTTTCTCACAAATCTTGTGGAGGACCAGACTGCCGGATCCAGTGGCTATGTCGATTGGATTCTTCAAGTATTCAGGCAATCACAAGGCTCGTGAAGATGGTATAACGACAGTAATCGTCCCTTTTTTTCCTTGCCATGTTGGCCTCAGCATCATCCAATTCATGTTTGCAGGTGTCGAGCTCACTGAGTTCTGAAGCATTTTTCTGTTATCTGTGAATGCATAAGTAACCTTGAATCAAGACAATTAAAGATCGAGTCAGATTCGGTTTAAAGTCCCTTTTGTAATGGTTTCTTGTTTTGCTAAATACCCTCTGTTTCATTCAAAGTATCGAGTAGAAATTTCTTTCTTTGTATCACAATTACTTTTGACTGTTTGTTGCCTTTGTGGTTTGATTACACTTAGCCATTGAAATTAGAAATATTTATTGTGATGATTGGTAAAAAAGGGTTTTATGAAACAGCTGTTGAACCATAACTCTTTGAAGGACCAATGTTATGCACAGAGGTAAAACTGACAGGTCTGACACTTGACCTTTTTATACCTTTGCACTTTGTTAAACACATAGCATTTTCTTTGTAAGTTGAACTCATTAGATAGATGTTTTTTTTAATTAATTTTTAAATTTATTATAAAGAGTAAATGGATTCTATCTCAGGATTTTCGATTCATCAGTCTGTCTTTACTAGTGGAGAGTTGGAGCTGAACTGATTCTTCTTCTTTTTCATTGCAGAAGCAGCATGTTGGGAGAATAAGCAAACTTAATTAGTTAATTAGATCCATCGAGGTGATCTTTGCACCTCCTGAGCTGCCCAAGTTAGAACACCAGAGTTGTTTGCATCTTATGATATGCTGGTTCGATGCCTACTTAGAAGTTAGAACTAACGAGAAGAAGAGTATAAAAATATAATTAAGATGAAGAAGCTTTTATGACATTTGAACAATTTGAAAGAAACACAAACTAGAGAATTTTCTCTATTACCATTTGATGATAATCTAACATGTCACGATGTGAATTTATGATGACTATTTTTAAGTCAACAACAAGAACTATGGCTAGATTAGCTTTGAACTCACCAACCATATTGCAATCTCTCCAACAATAAACCTCATGCTACACAACAAGTCAAGAACAATGCAAGAGAGAAACAGAATGGTCTTTGAAGAAGAAACACCAACGTCCAAAGTAGGAAGAAGAAATCACAATCCAACTAAGCAGACGATTTACAATATGTTGGGAACATGGGAATCCAGTTTTAGCTGCAACTCCTTGATCTTTGAGCTCAGCTCCACCTTCTGTTCCTTGTAGCTCTGAAGCAAGAAATCCTTGCCTTCGATCACTTCCTTCAGCTCCCCAACTTGCCTCTTCAACATTTCGATCTTCTCAAAGTCTCCTTCATCAATACCGTTAGCGTATCCATTCATTGTTCCATTTGCACCTTCAGGACACCAATGCCTTGCAGGCTTCTCGGGAGAGACCGCCTTCACAGCACAATAATCAGCAATGATCTTTCTCAACCGTTGGATCTCTCTTTCAGACTCGAACAAATCCCTATTAGCGGCATCAATCTGAGCCTGCAGATCAGCCGATTGTGTCGCCTGAATGCTTAGAGAGTTCTGAAGGTCGATCACCTGAGCCTGCATCTCCATTATCATGTCATCCCTTCGCTTGAGCTGTTGACGTAGTTTTTGTATCACCTCTCTTTTACTGTAGATATCAGACCCAGATTCCGACATGCATGGAGAGTCTGAGCTGCTCGAGTGGTGAAATGGTTTTTGGGGAAGCTCGAGACGGTCAGGTGATGATGCCCAAATCACACTTCCGCTCTCTTTGTTTCGTTCTGTATCCGAGAATTTCACTAGTTGGAGGGAGAGATCCATTTCTGTTGACATTGGATTTTTAGATTGCTTGATGTCTGTTCCATCTCCTGATATCCCTGTATCAGACGAAGATAATTTATTGAAATAATTCTCTCATGCATGTGTAAAAAATTTTAACAGAAAAAACTGTTCTAGCATAGAAATATATTCAGACAATTGAAAAGCAAGGCGCCTAGGGAACGCGATAATTCTGGTGCATTTTTTATAACAGCACCTACTTCATAAAGTAAAACAATTAAAATAACATATATCATCAGGCTCCAGGACTTGCATCAGCCAAACAGAAGCATATTTTTATCCATCACAGCAAGATGTCTGTAAACTTTAATACAAAGCACGCATATCTGATCATCGGAGCCTGCAAAGTCTATTCTTCTGATTCTTCAACACAATGCTTATAGTTAGAAGGTTAGTCGAGGGGAGCGCACCTGAAAGACAGTGGCAGTGGGTATCCTCATTTTGATGAAATTGATATAAATTTGAATTCATCTGGCATGCGGCTGACCTTATCTTGGGTGTGAATTTTCTATTCCCTGGAAAATTTGTTGATGTTGGATGTAAAAGAAACAAATAATGAGTCCAATTAACAATAGACAAGTGATGAACCTGTATTGACATTATCTTGCAGCTTTGTTTCAAAGACTTGTTTAAGCTTGCATCCCAACCTAATCGAAAGTGTACTGAGCAAGGCACCTCCTGCAATAAGAACCCAATTCGGTCCATTCCCTTTATAATGATTCAGCTTTTGACCTCTCTGTAGGGTTCCATTTGTTTTTGGTCTCATTTTAATAGTGGATCTGAAGCAAAACAAGTCTGCGATATGAACTTGACCTGTGTAAATGAAAACTAGGAGGATAAGAAACTAGTATGGAAGTCAGATTAAAGGCAGGATATGTTCTTTAGGAAGCTCCAATCAAGGTAAATGGTGATTTCTTAGAAACCAGACTAAGAGTTTCGTAGAAAAAGAACAACGCATAATTTAACAAAGAAATTAACATTTTACATGAAAACATTTCTCCATTATTTTTGCATAAAAAAACTTATAACTGAAAAAGATAAATGTGATGCAGAAATGAGAACTTTCAACTAACCATCAATGGAACATTATGCACAATGCCATCACTGTTTGATGATTAAGCTTCATGGCACTCGTATGATGCATAACTGGGGTCAGGTAAAACCATGCAGATATAACCCAACTACAAGTTTAACACAGTAAAATATGACTACTTCCATGGTTAGTGCCTTTGCCTCATACCTAGTCGATCGATGTGCTCAAATAATAGAACACACGCACGATCTATATGGTATGTCCGGTCCTTGGCTAAGTGAAGAATTTAATTTGCATTAGTACAGCATCACAGGCATGCAAACAAATAAATATGGAATCCAAGAATTGCCTATTCATTTATTCACGTTGTGGTTCTCGAGAAATTGCAAGAAAAAAATATATAAATGGTTCAGCGACGACAAGGTACAATCTTGCAAGGCTTGCAAAAATGGGATTGGAATTGTCTTGGGGTATGGGACTGGAATCAAAGTGGTTTTGGAGTTCGATATAGAGATCAAAAGTGGATCACTGTATTGGGACCAGCAGAAAATATAATTGTAAACTAAAAATAATAGAGAAAGAATAATATTAATTAATGAAAATAGTGATTAAATATGTAATGTATAGAAGTGATTAAAATTTTAAAATCTGTTTAGAAAAGGACACCCAAGAGTGGTGGGTTTGAGAGATACCTATCCCTCTCTAATCCTTCCCACTCTCCCTATCTCTCACTACTGTTTTCTCCTCCTAACTCTGTCTCTCACTGAATGTTTGAGATGCAACAATGACAGTGGGAAATTTAGTAAGTCTCTTAAACTCTCCTCTCCACTTCTTCTTCCTCTTCTCTTCTACTGGCTCTTGTTGTCTCATCCATCTTATGCAAAAAAATTGATCAACCACTGTATTTGGCTGCAATTAGCCGAATTAGCCGAATCCCAGCAACCGGTCAACCTATTAATTTCTCAATGGATTTGCAATTAAAAACTGATCCCAATTTAAATTAGCCATCATATCGGAATCGATATATCCTATTTTAACCTCTAATTGTTTTCATTATTAGATAATTGTCTTTAACTCTAATAGATAGCTGGTCGACCAAATAATAAAGGGCTCATATATCCTATTTTAATCAAAAACCAGAGAACATAGTATGGGTACAGTGTGACATAATTTTCTTCTCTTAACAAAAACATAAATACCAGCAAGGGAGGGATCCTAATTCGAAAGTTAAACATTAGATCTTGCGTTTTTGATACACACTTGAAACCGGAAGTACCCAATTTGGGCGAGTCGTTGTCTTGGTCCTTCGCAGTTTCCATCGTTTGCTGCTCATTTCGGGCATATCCAGCAAACCCTAACTAACTAATGCAAAATCCCTAGTCAAGAAAAACAACACTTGCTGGCCAAAACCAGCATCTTTAGGAACTCGAATCTGTTTCGTATAGATTTCACATTCGACTAAAAATCGCTTCTTTTGTTCTTCTCCACCCATTTGATTCAGATATAAGTCCAACTCAACAAGACAAACGCATCAATCGACGAAACGGGACATCCAATGCGAAAAATAGCGACATTTGCAGCACCAAAGAGGGGGGAGAAGAAAACAACAGCAATAGCACAAGGGAGACGAGCACGAAGCGAAACAGATCGAGGAATACCTCATTCAACCGACACCGGCGTCGGCACGAACGACAATCCCGCTTCGAGGAGCGCGTCTCGCGGCCTCCCCACACTCCCAAAGGCTCCCCCTTTTCTCTTTCTCTTCCCTTCCTTTAACTTCCTTCGCCGGGACTCAACTCCCTTTCGTGGATTTCTTTTCCTTTGTTATTTCCACCTCCACCTTTTGCTTTCCGATCCGTCGATAAGATCGGTACCTCCGCCTTCGGAGGTCCGGCGCGAGGCGACGGGGGAAATTTTGGCGGCTTCGCCTGCGGAGGGTTTCGTTTCGTTTCGTCTCGTTTCGTTTCGAAGTCCCTCTCGCGCTTCCTGTCGCGGTGCGCGCTTCCTCACCGGGTGAGGGCGAACCACCCGAGCCTTGGACAGGGCACAGGAAACATAAACACTTACCCCAAGACCTACCCTTCTTGTCGATGAAGAGACTACCGGACCCACATGTCGGTCCCGCATAAAACGCGGTCCAGAACTCAACCACAGGACGTGCGGGTGAGACGAACAGGTCTGCGACGGTACGGGAAACACCAAGAAACGGTACGCTACCCGCAAACTCACCCTTCTCGTCTACGGATAAGTTAGTCGGCCCCGCACAATGACCGTATGACACTCCAATCATAAGGCAGGTGAGCGAGACGGCGAGGTCGCAAGGAAAGAGACCACCTCGCCTCGTGATTCGTGCAGTCCGTGAAGAAAACGTGCTTCTGGCTGAGTGGCTGACATCTCTGGGGCCCGCTGTTCTAGGAATCCTAAAGCTAATGCTTTTTCCCCACCCCCCTAAATTTGTCCAAAAATTGGAAGAAATTTACAATTTTTTCTTCATATTTTGGATGGTTGTTTATATCAATGTTTGTTCAAAAATAGGAAGAAATCAACAATTTCTATTGATTATAATTTTTTCTTCAAATTTTGGATGGTTGTTTATAATATCTATGTTATGTTTTTTTTTTCTAAATTAGTTTGAAAATTGGAAGAGATAAAACAATTTCTCCGCAAAAATTCAAAGAAAGTGTGATTTTTATTTAGTTTCTTTTTGGAAAAAAAATGCAAAAGATCCATGAGCAATAAGCTTGATTGCATTATAACCACTAAAATTATTATCTTATGATATAGATTTTTATATAGTTAAAAAAAAAATGCTTATATCTAACAAATTCATCTTTTTAACATGTTATAATTATTATTTTTTCATATCACACACAAGTCCAAAAGGACTATTTCAATCTTATAGCATGATGTAGTGGGAAGTATTTGAAATCATTTTTTTTATTTTTCAAATTTATTTATTTTTTATTTCAGTCTAAGCTAAATTCAATGCATGTATTGTCGATTGTCAGATACACAAAACAAATGGGTCAAATGATTATGAACAAATCTTTAAAGGGTTTGAAAGAAGATTGATATGTACTCTTATTATTATACAGTGATGATGCTTTAATTTTTTTTTAAAGAATATTGGATCCTTACAATACCATTTTATAGTTGGGACTTTTTTTATATATAATGATGCTTTGCATAGTGGAGCCTTAAGACTTCATTATAATTTGGTGGATAGTGAAGATTTTATTTTATAACACATGGTCTTAATTGAAACATTGATTTTTCTTTAAAAATAATATTATTTATATGATGATAGATGTGAGATATTCACTAATCAAAAAGTGATATGTAATTCACCTTTCACCTTTCCGGATAATGACTCCATTGCGGTTCGATAAGTTGTCCCCTCCCAAGTAGGACCTTTGATGATAATTTATATTTATCTTTTCAGTAGACTTTTTAATCACCAAAAGGTCATGCTTGAAAGAATTATCCAATGTGTCCATAATGGATGAATTCTTCAATATACTCTTTTAGTTCAAAATTATCTTGGGTATTTGTGATTATGGTCTTAGTAAAACTAGTAGAATTTAGATTTGTCTCTACTCCCAGGTGATATCTCATTAGGCGAGGGTCTCGTAATGTCTACTTCTCCTTGATTTAGAGGAATACCTCTGCAAGCAATATGCTTAGAGGGGTCGGATTGAAAATCAACCAAGATGGATAAGTACCTTCAACATTTTTATAATTCTTCGTGCCTTTAGAGGCCATTGCCTTAACTATAATTTATTGATGATATACTGGAACGTCTTGAGAAAACTGATCGATTATTTCTTTATTAGAGATTAGAATAGACGAGTGTATTATAACACGTGGACTTTATTGAAGATGGACATCATAGCTTTGATGGATTAGAATAGTCCATTGGGTCTTGTTGGTAAACCTGATGATGAAATTTACCAATGGCTCATCCTTTATTTGTCAAATCATTAGGAGGGCAACGATTGAGTACTTGGGGTCATGTTCCTAGTAAAATGCTACTCGTACTCACTTACCAACTAGGTGAAGGAAGAGTTACTGAGAGTGGTTTAAGATGGGCATACCACTCTTGGGTTGTGCTCCTTAGTATTATGGGAGAAGTGTGGCACATCTAAGACATTTGAAGTGCCATATAGTGTCATTTGGAGATAAAAAACCACCACATACTCCATGGGATCCATGCCCCTATCAAACATCTCCAAAGTTGGAAATCGAAAGTTTGTAGGGATTGACACCTCTTGGATCTTCTAGATAAACAGAGACTCGATTAAGGCAAAGTTAGTCAAGCTTTGGATACATATCTTCAAGGCTTTAGTCTATCTATTTCAATTGCACCCGAAGAGCATACTAAGTAGAATCCATAGATTGACTCTCAAACTCAAACACTTTCATCTATGGGCAATGTGATTTGCTGAACTCGATCATGGGAGATCGACACATTATAAATTCACTAGGTGACATCTATTGAGTATGGATTTATGGAGTGATTAGTGTCAAAGCCAACATATAGACAAGAGTTAGGGGTGCAACTGGCTTTTATAGGACCGAGGTCGCTACCAATTGAGCCAACTGAGGAAGTAGGGGGATGACGAACTACATCATCTCAATCATCATATAAACATGCTAAGGAGGTTCAGGAAAATCTCAATCAAAATCACCAGATGGGTCGAAGTCCTTATTGGCAGAGAGAGAACAGGGTCGTTGAATAACAGCTAGTATTATATTACGGTTTACATCAAAGTGAAATTTCCAAAAGCAAGAAACATCAGTGCTATGGGTTAGTGATATGGCACCTTCACCCGAGCTCTCAATAAGTGAGATGACAAGGTGACATTCTTGCATCATTGTCCTTCTTTTAATGCCAAAATATCATGGTAGATATGAGTGATATTCGAATAATAGTTGACTTGTACAACGAACAAGATCGAATGAAGAACCTGTTAAAGTCGAGTAAGTAGTAACTGACATATGTAGTAGTGGCTTGATGAGCTTTTACGATGGGTTTGACCTAAAAAATATTTTATTCATAAAACATTATTTTAGATTTTTATAATATGATAATGTTTATATAGTTTGCATTACTAGTCAAGATCCATTCTTCTTGTCGATTGTACCATGTGTATAAAGTAAATAGCTACGATAAATATTTTTTCCTACGATAATTTAACTCTAGTAAATAGCTGATTTCACAAATAGCGAAGTATGTTGTTTTCTTTTCCTTTTCACTAAAATTATGTTTTTCTTGATTAATGAATGGTTTCCTCGCATTTTGATAGAACTTTGAATCTGAGATATTGAAAATGTGGAGTGAAGATTACCACCAACTATCGAAGTGAGATATGGTTCATACAAACCCAGTCAAATATCAATCGTTGAACCTTCAAATATCAATAGCAGAAGAAGAAGAAGGAGAAGAAGAAGAAGATATAAATTAAGCAGCAGCAGAAGAAGAAGAAGAAGATATGTGGGGACAAAAACTCACCACATATTCCATGGGATCCATGCCCCTATCAAACACCTCCAAGGTTGGAAACCGAAAGCTTGTAGGGATTGACACCTCCTGGATCTTCTAGATAAACAGAGACTCAATCAAGACAAAGTTAGTCAAGCTTTAGATACATATCTTCAAGGCTTTAGTCTATCTATTTCAATTGCACCCGAAGAGCATACTAAGTAGAATCCGTAGGTTGGCTTTCAAACTAAAGCACTTTCATCTATGGGCAATGTGATCTGCTGAACTCAATCATGGGAGATCGACACATTATAAATTCGCTAGGTGACATCTATTGAGTATGGATTTATGAGGTGATTAGTGTCAAAGCCAACATATAGACAATAGTGAGGGTGCAACTAGCTTTTATAGGATCGAGGTCGCTATCAATTGAGCCAAACGAGGAAGTAGGGGGATGACAAACTATATCATCTCAATCATCATATAAACATGCTAAGGAGGTTCAAGAAAATCTCAATCAGAACCACCATGGGTTGAAGTCATTATTAGCAAAGAGAGAATAGGGTCTTTGAATAACAAGTAGTATTACATTATGGTTTACTTGAAAGTAAAAATTCCAAGAGCTAGAAACATAAATTATTGTCCACCTTCGATGATGATGCTATGGGTTAGTGATGTGGCACCTTCACCCGAGCTCTCTTTGAGTAAGATGACAAGGTGACATTCTTGCCCCATTGTCTTTTTTTCTAATGTCAAAATATTATAGTAGATATAAGTGATATTCGAATAATGGTGGACTTGTACGAAGAACCCGTTGAAGTCCCTTCGATACTTTAGTTAGTTTTGAGTAAGTAGTAACTGGCCTATGTAGTAGTGGCTTGATGAGCTTTTATGATGGACTTGGTCTAGGAAAATATTTCATTCATAAAATATTATTTTAAATTTTTATAATATAATAATATTTATGTAGTTTGCATTACTAGTCAAGATCCAGTCTTCTTGTCGATTGTACCATGTGTATCAAGTAAATAGCTACGATAAATATTTTTTCCTACGATCATTTTTTTCCTTCGATAGTAAATAGCTGATTTCACAAAGGTGCAAAATAGGTATGTTGTTTTCTTTTTCTTTTCTACAAAATTATGTTTTTCTTGATTAATGAATGGTTTCCTCACATTTTGATAGGAACTAAAAATAAAAAAATAGAGATCTTAAAACATAGAAAGAGTAGAATGTAACCATTGAGATTAAACATGGATAGAACTTTGAATATGAGATATTGAAAATGTGGAGTGAATTACCACCAACTATCGAAGTGAGATATGGTTCATGCAAACCCAGTCAAATATCAATCGTTGAACCTTTGAATCTGCTGAATAGCTTACACGACAAATTATTTACACAAGCAGCAGAAGAAGAAGAAGAAGAAGAAGAAGAAGAAGAAGAAGAAGATATAAATTATTTTTTTTTTATTATTTTTAAAATTGCTCGTATCGATAATGATATGTGCGCAATTGATATGAATTAATGAGACGTTCGATGGGATTAAACCATACCATTACTTGTTAGTTTTGTCTTAATCCCTTTGGATGCTCTCTCCGATCACCCGATGGACGCCAATAATATTGTAGGTGTGCCGACGGTGATGATCAATGATGGCGTCCTCTTCGATTTAATGCCGGCGGTTGCATTAAAATGGTAAGTACAGATTTCAATTGGAAATTGACTTTAATTTAATGCCGTGGCAATTTGCGTTGAGAGATTACTTTTTAGGTTATGTAGTCCTGGAAATTACACGAACCGTAGGATTTACGAGTCCCGGTAAGATCCACCGTTGAAAAACATTCTTATTTTAATTTGTTTATCTTTTTATTCATCTGATCCGACGCGAAGTCACGAGGCTTTGTGGGTCCCTCCTTCCCATCCGACCCGAAATGTTCGCTCGATTGCCTGCGCAGACTCGGCCAAGGAACAGGATTCTCCAACCGTATGATCGGGCCCACCTGCAAGTCACGTTGGCGGATGATGGGACCCACTTGATTTTTGTTCCTACTTATTTATGTGTAGCTTGCACTGAACGTGCCACCTGCGTCGGTCACTCGCGCATTGTGTTGGTCCTCTGCCGATCTATGGCTTCGCTCTTCTTCCTCTTCCTCCTCCTTCTCCTGCCCCTCGTCGTCGTCCTCCTCCTCCTCGCGGTCATCGTACGGCCCCGCCCGGTGCGGATCCCCCTCAAGGGCCGGCACGTCCTCGTGTCCGGCGGCTCCAGCGGCATCGGCTTCGCCCTCGCGCGCCGCGCCGCCGCCGAGGGCGCCCGCGTCTCCATCCTCGCCCGCGACCCCGACCGCCTCCGCGACGCCTGCGACGCCATCCGCCGAGACACTGGCGTCGACGCGGCCGCCCTCGCCGCGGACGTCCGCGACCCCGCCGCCGTCGCCCGTGCCCTGGAGACCGTCGGCCCCGTAGACGTCCTCGTCTGCAACCAAGGCGTCTTCGTGCCGCAGGAGCTGGAGCGGCAGAGCCTGGAGGAGGTCCGCTTCATGGTCGAGGTCAACCTCATGGGCACGTTCCACCTCATCAAGGCCGCTCTCCCCGCAATGAAGCAGAGGGGGAAAGAGACAGGCCTCCCGGCCTCCATTGCCATCATGTCCTCACAGGCCGGCCAGGTACCTTGATGTTCCCAATCGGTCTGTGACAGCCTCGAGTCGATCCAAAGTTTGATCTTTTCTTCGTTTCTGTTCGCTCTCTTCAAAATTCATCCCTTTATTACATGCCAACTTCGTGTCCTCTGAGAAATGAGTATTGGATTCGTCCACAGGTGGGTGTTTATGGTTATACGGCATACTCGGCAACCAAATTTGGGCTTCGGGGTCTTGCAGAGGCTTTGCAACACGAGGTTATTATGGATAATATTCATGTAACTCTCATATTTCCTCCTGATACAGATACACCTGGGCTCGCTGAAGGTTTGGAATAGTGTCTTACGCTAGTTGTGTGTTCCACTTCCGTTGAGACTTGTAATCTTACTCATACCATATTTATTATAACAAGGCATGCCTGTTTAGGATCTGCGCAATCTCCAATGAGTTCTGTATTTAAATTAAAATCTCAAGTCATATCTGGAGGAAATTTAGGTGGGTGCCACTTTGCTTGCAGTATCTTTTCTAGGAAGGATGGTTGAGGGTCATGACTTTGCATTTATATTGTTGGCATTTAAGCTACGACAAGAAAGTGGTGATCCATGTTTGCTCATAAATGTACCTGAGGAGATAGTGTAATAGGTGGGTTCATATTCATCTTAGGTTGTAGATATTCTCACTGTTGATTAGTTGATTCAAAATTTTCAAATTGTTCTCCTCCACTCCTTAATCTGATTAATGCCCTCTTGATGTTTACTTGAATCCTCTTTGTTATTTTATCCAACTCCAATTCTCCCATGCCATTTAATATGTCTAGTGTATCCTTTTCTACTCGATCAATTATTAATGTCCATAAAAGCATACCTAATGTAGGTTTATCCATTGGCTGGGGAGGCTTTGCTTTGTGATTTTTCCGGGTATCTAGTAATTAACATGCTTTGAAATTGAATGAAAAGAAAGGAAAAACCTAAGGGGCACCCTAAATTTACCTTTACTAACTTAGTAACTTTTTAGATCCTCTATGAAATTTTTATGGTCAAGATTTAAAGATATGAGCTGAAGATTGGCCAAGGAGGCTTTGCTCTGTGGTGATACTAGTTATCTAATAATTTAAAATCTTTGACTAAAAAAAAGCATTCCTCAGAACAGCTTGAGCATACCTCTGTTAGAGTTAATAACTGTTTAGGTCCTCTATGAAACCTTGGTTGCCAAGATTTAAAGACATGTCATCTCCATTGTCTAGGAACGCTTTGCTTTGTGGTGTTACTAGGCATCTAGTTATTAAGAATCTTTGACCATAAAAAGTATTCCTGAGAACACCTTGAGCGTATCTCTACTGGAGTTAGTAACTGCTTAGGTCCTCTTATGAAACTTTGAAGGCCAACATTTGAAGCCATAAGCTGACCTTTGGTTTGGGAGGCTTTGCTTTATAGTTTTACTAGTATCTAGTAATCAAGACTCTCTGACTAAAGAAATATTCCTGAGATCACCTCAACCTTCCATCTACTGGAGATAGTAACTGATCAGGTCCTCTATGCAATTTTGATGGCCGAGTTGAATATATGAGGTGACCATTGGTTAGGGAGGTTTTGCTTTTTGGTGTCACTAGGTATCTAGTAATCGAGACTCTCTGACTAAAGAAATATTCCTGAGAACACCTTAAGCTTACATCTACTGGAGATAGTCACTGATTAGGTCCTCTATGAAATTTTGATGGCCGAGGTTTGAAGATATGAGCTGATCATTTGCTAGGGAGACTTTGTTTTGCGGTGTTACTAGATATCTAGTAATTAAGAGTCTTTGACTTAAAAGGTATTCCTGAGAACACCGTAAACTTACTTATAGTAGCATTAGCAACTGTTTATATCTGCTATGAAATTTTGATTTGAAGATTTGAGCTGACCATCGTCTAAGGCAACCTTGCTTTGTGGTGCTACTAGGTATCTAGTAATTAAGAACAGCATTCCTTGGAACAACTCGAGCATGCCTCTATTAGAGTAACTCTTTAGATCCTGTATGAAACTTTAATAGGTAAAATTAGAGGTTTTTACCCGTTCATAGAACCGTTCTTAAGAAGTACCTGTATAGCCAACACGAAGCAGCCTCCATGTACTTCTTGGAGTTTGATTTTGTTATAGTATCACTCTGACTTAAACATTTTTAGCTGCTGCTAATGGCCTAATTTTTGTTAACAATGCTCACTTTGTAATTTTAGCATTTGACTTGGTTATTTGATTTATTTGAAAAGAGTGCAATAGTTATTATAGTTGCTATATCATTAGCTTCTATTGAATCAACAGCGTAAACATACATTCAGGTGAAGGTTGTTGTTGCAAGTTTCTTGAAAATCCATAATCTGGTGTGCAAATTGATTGCAGAGCTGAAGAGAAGACCAGAGATTACAAATGTGATAGCGGCATCGTCAGGTGGTATGAAGGCCGATGATGTTGCCCAGAAGGCCTTGAACGGAATCAAATCTGCACAATTTGTGGTTCCATGCAACTTTGAAGGGACAATGCTATCCATCGCGACAGCTGGTTTGTCTCCTCAGCGATCGTACCTTATGGCATTCAATGAGGTTCTTGGTGCGAGTCTTATGCGCTTCATCGGCCTGTGCTTCCAGTGGAATTGGTTTAGTGCCATAGAGAAGTGGCACGCCAAGAAGAAGCGCAAATAATTAAGAATGTCTTCTCTCGATGCCACCTTTTAATGATGTCTAAATAGTTCAGTTGTCTTCAATGTGTCATGATGTACTTTGTTGGAAAATAGATCTGCACATCTTGGTAAGAAAATTCGATACATTAGGTATCAACAATGCTGTATGTTACTCTTGATATGCAGTGTCAAAAGCTTAAGTTAATAAAGGAGACAAGTTCTGTTCATCTATGATCTCTGTGATTACTCTAAACCTTTGACTTCCATTCTACTCTTTCTGCATTTTAAGACTTGTATTTTTTAAATATTTTATGTTACTATCAAAACTGGAGAAAATCATTCATTAATCAAGAAAAAACATAATTTTGTAGAAAAGAAAAAAAAAACATAATTTTGCTCTGATACCACTGTAATACTCTTTAACCACACTTTCTAATCATAAGAAGCTAATAAAAGTAGAATAATATTAGAAAAATCTGAAAATGAGAATTCTCGAAAAAAGTCTCGGAAGAGACTTGTTTTTCTAAAATTCGATATAAATAGATATGGAGATAGATAGAGAGAGAGAGAGAGAGAGAGAGAGAGAGAGAGGGGGAGAGGAGGGGGGGGTGTGGTGAGGGAGATAACGTAGGACCGGGTGGTTTGTGAGTAGATGGAGAGCAGTTGTAGCTTTTGTATGGCATCGATGGACTCCGATAAGATTGCGGCCATTGGAGTGTTGTGTATTGGGAGCGGATGTGTGCCACAAGCGCGTGTGAAGTATCTGCTCCACCCAATGGGCGTCCGCCCTCCCATATCCCTTGTTGGTCGCCCACTGTCACCTCGCGCCAATAGCCGCGGAATACTCCAAACCCGCAGCAGAAAAGCAGCTGCTCCCTCCCTCGGTTTTCACCGCCTTTCTAGCTGCGGCCGCCCGACCGCCACGCTCTGGTGCGTCCGCCCCCACTCTCGGATCCCCTTTTGTGGTTCTCTCTTTTGAGATCAGAAGTTAGTTTTTATTTGGCGCGTGCCCATGCTAAAAGAGTCGTCCTTTTTCCCCTTTCTTATCCTTCTTGTTCTTCTGGTTGTTGGTAATTGATCGGAAAAGATGACAAGGATTTGTTCTTGATGTTTGTGGTCATCGCCGTCTTTCTGGTAATTGGTAATTGCGCGTTTCTAGTAATTGCATGGAGAAAAGATTCGTTCTTGGTTTCCCTGTCATCTTTTTCTCCGCCGGTTTGCTGCCTCTGTAACGCTCATTTCGATTCTTAATCTGTCCATTGGGTTTCTTCCATGTTGGTATTGTTTTGGATTCATGTCGTGTAGGAACGCCAATGAGCGATTTTTGGATTAGAATGCTCAGATCTAGTGGAGTTTGCTTCGTTTGATTGATCGCAGATCAACCTTCGGTGCTGGAATTAGATCGCTTGTCTCAAAGATTCCATCTTGCTCATAACCTCCTTGCATGTGAGAATCCAAGCTATCTCAGGAGGCTCCGACTTTTAGTCTGTTGGCTTTTGTTGTCTATCACGGCGTCTTTGTGAAATAGCAACTTTTTTGGTTTTATCCGGGCAGTGTTTCTTTTTGTTATCCTGTCCAAGTAACATCCCTCTGGATGATCTATCGGAATTGATCAAGAGTGCATAGCAATTTCGACTTTCAGCAGAATTTTCAGTCATGTTTTGCGATCATTAACCCAAGAAAGTGGCACTTGTTAGGCCTGCATAGATTCTTCTCAGTGCCAAGGTTTCTGATTCTTTCAAACTTATTTTAACGTGCCACTTCTTATTCCTTTAAGTCTAAATAACTTTGATATATAATTCACAGTTCATCCCTTTCGTATCATACCTTATGATCGGTTTTCTGTGCCCAGTACCTCGTTGATAGAAGACTGAGAACATGTCTTTTTCTTAATAGGTGGATCACTCTTTTATTGCAATTTGGAAGACATGGCTTTGGCTCGACAAGGTTATTGACCACGTGTAATGGTGATGCACAGACATTTTAGGCTGGATGATGGCTACAGCAGCAGTTATTGGATTACACACAGGAAAGAGGCTTCTGAGCTCTTCATTCTGTCAAACCGACCTCACTGAGAAGTTATTCTCTGTTCCAGATCATGGTTCACTGCCATTTTCGGGTGGCTCCACTAAATGCACCATAGTTGCAAAGAAGTCTTCTCATTTTGGGTCAAATGTTCCACCAACCAGGCACATACCGACTATCAAGGCACTGAGAGAACGTGTCAATACTTCAGCTCCTTCAACTAGCGATACATGGTCTGAGAGGCCTGATCTTGAATCTTCTCTAGAGGTCCTCATTTTGCTACAGAAGTCTATGTTGGAAAAGCAATGGGAACTTCCTTTCACACAGATGACAACTGTTGTTGCTCCTGAGAATAGCTGCCAGATGCCAGAAATTACTCGTTCAGGGATATCTGCCCGTGAGAGGAGAACTATTTCCAGTAGGAAATGTTTTAGTCATAAGGCTAATTTGGTGCCATCAAGCAGAGTGAAACAGCTTCATCCAAGTGTTAGTCGCGAGTTACTTAAATCTGACATTAGTGGTTATGTGCGGGGCACCGTGAGTGAAAACTTGCTGACACATGCAGAAGTCGCAAATCTGTCAAAGACAATAAAAGCTGGTATACATATACAAGAACAGAGGGCAAAGTGAGTTTTTTGTCTCATGCAATTTGGACTTATTTACTATTAGCATACTGACAGACAATCTTCATCTCTTTTATTTTTCTTGTTGGAATATCAAGAATCAACTGAGAGATTGGAAATTCAAGTCTTTGTTTATAACTCAGTTCTTTTAATGAAAGTAGAGATGTAGCAACAATTTGTATATCTTGTAAATTGCCAATGTGATTTTGTCAAGAAATAGTAATTAAACTTATCATGCTTATCTCATCTAGCTCCTCTTTTAGATGGAAATTTCTAGTGTTTGGGTAATTTGCTTCTGAAAAATCTTAATTTTGTTGTATCATATCTAGAAGCTGCTTCAATTCCTTTTTGCCTATATTTGGGCCATATCTAGCAACAATTATAAAGGTAAAGAGTATAGTTCGATCCCTTACTTCATATTGCCCTTGGAGAGCTTGATGATTATAATAAGATTGTTCATTTTTGGTAACTACATAAACCGTTCATTATATGATCTTGAGCGCATGAAGAGCTTTATAATTTTGATAATTTTCAGATTTCATTTCTTTTTTCTTGAAGATAAAGGTGGTTCTCATTTTTTATTTACTTTGCTCGATGTAGTCAAATTTATCTCGTTACATAGAGTTGCGATAAATCTTTAAATCATGAAGATTAACTGCTTTACGGCAAGCAAATCTCATATGAGTTTGCTGATTGGAACTAAAAGCTACTTGATGTTGTTATTGTTGCTTGCTGCTGCTACTAGCTTCTGTGGACTATGACCAAACTGTTTATGGTTTCAGACTGCAGGATAAATTGGGATTTGAACCAACTGACAGACAGCTGGCTTCTTCATTGAGGATGTCACGTGCTGAGTTGCACACAAAAATGATCGAATCTTCTTTGGCAAGGGAGAAGCTTGCAATGAGCAATGTTCGTCTAGTCATGTCTATTGCACAGAAGTATGATAACTTGGGAGCAGAAATGACTGACCTTATCCAGGTAAATCTTCTTTTGTTTTTCTTTTAGACTTGCGTTAACTGGCATAGAAAAGTTCTTCATGTTATTATTTTCTGGCATGAATTTCACAGTATAAGCTGCAAGTTTTCGTTGTTAATATAGTTACTTGTTTCACAGGCTGGTTTGATTGGGCTACTTCGTGGGATAGAAAAGTTTGATTCTTCCAAGGGCTTCAGAATATCTACTTATGTATATTGGTGGATACGACAGGTGAATCAAATTATGCTTTAGCTGTTTGATATTTTATGCTAGGTAGATCAGCACATATTATGATGGAAAAGTCAGAGATCAAACCCCATATTTCTGTTTTTGTCTGGGTGATCCTTTGCTTTAGTTGTTTGATAGATTGTGCAGTGGGTAGACTTGCTTTTTCTGCTTGATATTTCTTATATTTTTTTCAATTGGCAAAGTTATCTGTTAATTGGAGTCTATGTTTGATATTGGATATTATGTGGTTAGAACTACTTTCTTTTATGGACTTCTTGTTGCAGCGGATAAACCTGCTTTGTCTGCTTGGTATTACTACGTGTTTTTCAATTGGAAAAATTATCAGTTAATTGAAGTTTCTGTTTGATATTGGATATTATGTGGTTAGAAATAATTTCTTTTATGGACTACTTGTTAGCCAGCATCATTCACAGTCCTTTGCTTTTGAATTTTTTTGCTTAATATGAAACATCTAATTACCTAGCATGTGCCATAAGAAGATGGATGCCAAAGATGGAAATTTTACCTAGTAATTGGTTGGAAATAGGGAGGAAATTAGTTTGCCTTTTTGTTGGTTGTTCATGCAAAATGTAAGTTCTCCTTTACAGGTAGTTAACTGATTCCTTCACCAAAAAACTTCTATATGTTGTTTCTTATGTTTCTTTCTCATTCAGGAGTCATTTAAGTTCCAAAAGACATTCAAGTGAGATCCTAAAATGGCAAGTTGATATTAATGATCACTGTGGCTTCCTGGGCAGCTTAGACATGAGAGGATAATGTTGATATCCGATCAGTTTTCCTAATCAATTAAATATTTAGTGTTGTCTTACCAAAGTAGATCTAAGTCTGTCCCATTGTTCCTGGTCCATTTAAACCCAAATATCGTAAAATTCTGCCATGACCAGTGAAAGCGGAAATTGTTAGGTCAAACCATAATGAGGCATATATAATTCATAGCTCCTGATTTGGTTCATGTCACAACAATTCTTCATTTGTAAAAGTTTTTTAAATGTTATTTGAATCACACACAGATGATAAGCTATTTTCTCTTTCTTATCTATGATCTAGAATTATGTTTCCAGAAAGTCTTAACTTGCAGATCTTAAAACTTCAATTCCCACTGGGTTCACATCTGTGCCTCATATAGCTGCTCCTCAATCTTAGCATCTATTTTGATAAATGCTTGATATGGAAGCTTCTATTATAGCATAATGCTACATGCTTATTTGTTTCGATGGTATAGTTTATTATTAAATATGAATTTCATGCATAAATTTTAATAGACACTGTCTTTCTTTCCAGGGTGTCTCGCGAGCATTGTTTAAGAACTCCAGGACATTAAGACTGCCTACTCATTTGCATGAAAGATTAAGTTCAATTAGACATGCAAAGATTAGATTGGAGGAGAAAGGAATTACACCATCAATTGATGTAAGTGAACTTTTATCATACTGTTGGATAGTTCTCCATTTTTCCATGCATGCTTAGTATAGTGCAACATTTTGTTTTTGGGCCTTTCTGCAGTTGACATACAGAAGATGATCTTTATGCTATTCCACTTGCATAATCATTGTTGTCTATAGTTTTCATTATTGTCTTGATTTAATTGCTAATATATGGAACAGAAGCTGATAAGGCACCTGTCCAGTATCCCTGGTGTTAACCATCTTCTTCATGATCTTGACTATAGGAACACCCTATCCTATTAGTTCTCTGTGACCTTGAAATCCATAAGCACTCCCTTTTGCTTGTTCTATCATATTTGTTTATGCCCCCATGGTAGCTCATAATGTTTTTATTCAGATTTAAGATCTTGTTTCTTATTGTTTAGGAAATTAAGCTGCACGATTTTCATTTCTTTTCTTTACTCTATAGAAAGGCAATTGTTTAATAGTGAACTTTACTTCTCTGTGAAGTTTGTAATGATTAGATAATTTCTTTTATTCTTTACAGAAACTTGCAGAGACCCTAAATATGTCGCAGAAAAAAATAAGGGATGCCACACAGGTATGGATTCACATTCTTAGTAATTGTATTTGATCTTGTAAGTAGCTGTTTGTTCCTTGCATTAAATGGTCAGAGATGCAGGCAGCGAGCAAAGTACTTTCTCTTGATAGGGAAGCCTTTCCCTCATTAAATGGCCTTCCTGGCGAGACTCTTCACAGTGTAAGTTTAGCAACTCAATTTCTATATAAAAGGTCTATTGATTATAAAAATTCTCTTTGTTTCATAACACCATTTATTTCCTTCAGTATATTGCAGACAGAAACGTTGAAAATAATCCATGGTATGGTTTTGAGGAATGGTCTCTCAAGGTATGCATAGTAAATGTTCTATAACATGGACTTTAATTTTCATTGAAGTTGGCTTGTGATTCTTTGCTCTCTGTTGAATAAATCTAGCAACTTAGGGTTTTCTTCTTGGTTATTGCTCAACCTCATTTGAATAGACAAACTTACTAATATAGGTTTTGGAGGATTCTTAATTCATGCTGCTATTTTCAACCATGATATTTATATTCTAATCTATCCAGGATGAAGTCAAGAAGCTTTTATATACAACACTTAGCAAGCGGGAGAGAGAGATTATTAGACTTTATCATGGTATTGACAGTGAGTGTCATACATGGGAGGATATCGGTAAACGGTAAGCAGTTTATTCTTATCAATTTCTGATTTAATTCTGATTCAGATTTGTTTTCTTGAGACAACTCTGGGAGATATGAATATTTACTTTCAAGGGAAAAAAATGTATTTACTTTCAAGCTATACGATAGAACTTCTCCAGTTGACTCTTTTCCTTCTTTCTCTCAGAAAGAAGTTGTTTGGCATATATATATTTTTTGTTGAGATGTGAAGAAAGGTTCTAGAATAATAGTGTTCTTAAAGTAGTCTTCTATTTCTGTGGAAAAAAATGTGAAAAAAGTTTTTTATTCCTGATCAAAAGAAGAAAACACCACCACCATATATAGCACTTCAGAGAGCACTCTTAAACTATCTACTTGAGTGTTCGTGACCCCAGTATCAACAGTATTATCTACTGAAACAAAATTTTACAATGCAATCCCAAACAAACAGAATTTGGTAATCTCCAGCCAACTGAAGAAGAAATCTATCTTTAGCACTGCGAACCATTCCAAATCTACATTTCCAAAAATGATTCTCCCTTGAACAATCAACTGAAAATTGGCATTTTACAGTTGTATGATGCATCTCATAATCTTTTATGTACTAGCCTGCTTATTGAACATGTGATATTTCATTCATTCGATGCTAAATACAAAGCAAAGCAACAAACATTCCTCTACTTAACTTCAATAGTAAGCACTTTCCTTGTAATTATCAGTAATCAGCAGTTCTTTCCCATGACCGCTTGGTGATTTTACTACTACTATAAAAAAAGGAGTTTTCAACTGTAATAACTTTCTTCAAGTGCAGCTGATTGACATGGTGGCCTGACACATTATATGCTTCCATTATCTGAGTATGACCTGATGAATGCATTTTGTCCATAGAGATCAGTTCAACAGCAACCACAAATGCCTTAGGATTTCATCTTTCTTCTGTATCACTATTGATTTTGTAATGTCATATAAGCATTCTCCTATAGCTACAACTCATCTATGCTTCTTCATTTGATCAACACTACCCTGGTGCAACATCATGCAGACTGCATCTGCAACTTTCTTTTGAATCTTCGGTGTGTTCCATTTTCTGTTTTAACTCGCATGGTTAGTCTTTTACATTTAATCAGAAGTTGAATCCTTCTTAGACAAGGATTCTTTAATTGGAAAAAGGGAAACAAGATAACATGCTTTCCTTGATGCATTTGTTTATATGTCCTAAAAGTGGTGATGAGTCTTCTACATTACGGAGTACATTTGTATTTGAGTAAAGTTTCTGAAAATATTGAAACTACTGAATCTTGGCATGACAATTTCTACACCTATGTGCATAGATAGATATGCATACTTGATGCTTGTTAATAGTCATGTTTTCTTCTTCAGGTTTGGTTTGTCGAGAGAACGTGTTAGGCAAGTGGGGCTCATCGCCATGGAGAAGCTCAAGCATGTGGCAAGAAGAAGAAAATTGGAGGCAGTGTTGGTAAAGCATTAAAATGACATGTATCGATCGGCTTGGCACTACATGATGACCATGTATATGAAACAAAAACAAACATGGATCTCTACATTTATTTTTCATCGAGAAGTAATTATACGTGTACATGTTTAATGGTGCAATTGGAAATACTCGCTGGTCAAAGAATTTTGTTTCACAACATTGCTTCCCGAGCTGGATATCGTTTCGTATATTAATGATGTTCTTGTAAGTGAAACATGATGGCCTTTGATTTGCATGGAAAATCTAGAAAAATCAATTGGCCTAACATTCTTCATCTCATAGTACTTGTGGCACATTACAGACAGTCATATATTAAAACTTTGGTTGGACATATACTTCAAAGCATTGCATAACTAGTTCTTTACATTCTCTCTCACATGACACACATGTATGATGTTTCTCATGACAGAACTAAACAACTTTTGGCTAGGCTGTGGTTGTTTGGATAATTCAGATCCTCACTTGGAAAACCAGCTTGACTGATAAAATCAAAGTAGACAGCACAAACTAATGGAGGTTGTAAATGAGTATTTGGTTTTGTACATGATGGTATCGCATAATGGCTTTTTTTCTGTCAAAACAATCAATACTTGTAGTAGTTTAGCAGCTCAAGGTTAGATGGAGAAAGTTTAGGATCTCCTGGTGGAGACGAAGGTAAGATAAACTGATGTCCAATTATGCATTACCACCAATGGTTTACCCCCTCCAATTCTCAGTGTCAAAACCCCAAGTTCCTCCAAATATCGTTGACAAGATGTTGATAGATAGAAACTGTCATTGTTGAGCTACTGAAGGTACGATATTAGAGGAAACTGAAGTTACTGAACACTGAACCTCCTATAGCGTATATAGAGGCATTGCATTCAGGGCTTCTGTGCTGATCTTTCTCCCAATGAATTCCCAGGTAGATCTTCTCCTTTCCCCGTCCAGTAGTAAAGTAAGAAACGTAAAAAGAAAGAACCTGCCAGAAAATAAAGATTCAATCTCTGAAATTTCTAGATCCCAAAGTCACCTTTGAAGGTCTTATTGTCTGATGCTGTTGATATGATTCTGTGAAGCTGCCATTTGTAGGTGATTTCTGACAGCGATAAGTGCATGGTATTCCTCTTTGCCACACATTGCATTGTGCCAAGCATGACTTTGAATGTCTTTTGATTCCCATGAGTTGAAATACTACTCATCGTTAGTGAATGAAGCCAAGGATTCATTGTCAGATGGAAGACAACCCTAGCTCTGAATGAGCAGTTAACCACACCAGGTAATTATTTTGATCTCAGTGCAATACCAAAAACAGATTTGGCAACAAAATCACTTGAAAGATGCTTCTCTGGCCCCATTTTTATCTGTTAATTAGACAGCTCCTTGTCAGAAACCCTCAAATGGAATATACAAATAAGCAAGTTGTAGATCTCTTTTTCATCCCAGATAGTGAAATCTTTTGACAATGAAGACTTGCAAATATATAGAGGTTAAAAGATATATGTATATATATATTTTACCTCGTTTGTGAAGTCACTGGTTTCCAGATCATAGAAAGGTTTTTGAATTTGTACTAAAACCACCTGAATACCACCAAGAACATTAATAGAAAAGGCAATTGCATGTACAAAACATAGCTATATCTCATGCTACTGTCATTACCTCTCTGTTCACATATACTTGAGGCATTATGCAACATCTCTCTAGCTTTTCTATCAGGTGTGCAGCCGGCATGTTCCATCTCTTTATATATTATTGGAACCTGAATGATGGGCGAAGAAACTTATGTCCACAACCTTGGAAATAAAAAGAGTTCTAGGAAAGGGCTGACATCTTCATCACCAAACAGTGTGCAACACAAGAATAAACATCGGTCAAGGAAATCTAGCAAGTCAATCCAAAATATATTGAACAGTAACTAAACTATCTTTTCTTATACCAAGGAGGAAAAAGAAAATTAAATTCCTACATACTCATGTATTTAGATGAAATAGATGAAGTATTGCACTCTACTTCCGGCCAAATGTACTTAGCTTCCCACTTCTGGTAAAGCATTAAACAGAACAAACAGGGAAAAAAAAGAATAACCTGACCTGTTCATATTTTTTACCCCTCATGAATGCTTTCATTAAAGTACAATAAGTAACCACATCTGGACTGATGCCCTACAGAACCAATAATAGTCCTTTCTAGTCAATTCTGATTGTAAAATCTTTAAAAGATAACAAAAGCAAAGGACAAAAGAGATAATAGATCATATAATAAATTTGATCTTGTTCAGCTCATAAGTCACTTACACTTTCCTTGATATGTTCAAAAACTGCCATTGCCTCAAAGTGCCTTCCAGCAATACCAAATGCATTCATCAACAGATTTAACATTATAAGGTTTGGTTCAATGCCATCTGCTTCCATTAGCTGAAGCACCCTCAAAGTTTGTTCACACAACCCCTAACAAGAAGGCAAGAATGTAAATAATACAGAAATTATCAGGAAAATCACACACTCAAAAACATACATGTGAGAGAATTCCAGTGCGCTGAAAATTGCAGTGTGAAGTAGGTAACTGCATAACCAAACTGAGCTAGATAAAGCCTACTCATGCTCAAGCTTTGCTTGATATTAGTAACTGGTATCAAGAATAAGCATCTGAATTTGCTATGTTATAAAATTATGTCCCAGCCAGACCTCCTTTGCAAGCATCACATGTTATAAGTCATCTATAACTCACATTTATGACAGAAACTTAGAAGCAAACAAACAAATGCAATATAACTCTAGCTATGTGACAACTGCCTTGACAATCTATTATTAACAGATACTACTCTATTTTGAGAAATATATTGAAATAATATATGTTCAAGCCAGTTTGAAGCCAAGCATAGTTACATCCAACTAAGTTCAAGGTTAGTTTGAAATTGATTTAGAGCCTCATCTATTGTTTGTTTATTCTCAAACTGAACTTAGCAATCTAGAGCTCTTTACAAATGGGTTGTTTCAGTTACTGGCCTGAAAGTAGGACAACTATAAACAAGAAAATGCTAACAGAATCTAAACATCCCAAAATAAAAACCCCGACAAAAATGGAAGAAAAAAAACCTCTTGCACACTATAACTCTCACTGTTACAGTCCTGTCCATCGCAAATGCACACCTAAATCTTCCGATTGAGGCTAAAAATAATCACTTTATGTGTTTCAATGTTGGTAATTGCTGGTTTAGCTAATTACAACATTTGATTTAGAAGGAATCAATTATGAAAAAGAAGAAACTCCCAAGTCTTTGTCATGAAATAAATGCTTTGACATTGAGGAAAACCTTTCTCCTGCAACTTTTGCTGTCACTAATTAGAAGGAACATAGATGGCAGTCAATCAAGAGTGAGGGGCTCACTGTCTGTGCTGCATGCATCTCTACCCGGCTATTGAAACCAATGGAAGCTAAAAGAAAACATAGCACAGCATGGTTTCTCCATTTCAAAGCAAGAATTGTTTCAAAGATTTCAGATATACAAAAATTCTGGTTAAAATCAACAAATATCAGCAGCATCAAAAGATAAGCAATGTAACAATGCTTCTTATATAACAGTAAATTCAACAGACTGATTAGACAATCTGCGCACCTGCTGAGCATATGCATTTGCCAATACACAGTATATGCTCGCTGAAACCTGCATACCTTCGGCTTTAAGTGCAGCCACACACTCCTCAGCATTGTGGAACGTACCATACTGACCATATATATCCACTAAAATTGAATATATGATGCCACTTTCTCTTAGACCTCTATATTTCATACCCTCGAACAATTTCTTCATCTCATCCCATCTTCCCCGCTCTCCTAACCGATTAATGATATTAACAAAGATCTTAGGATCAGGGTACAATCCTGCTTCCTGCATTTTTGCAAAGAATCCAAGAGCGTGTTTCAGATCTCCAGCCTTGCAATGCCACCGAATCAGTGCATTCCAAGTCATGATGTCCGGTTTCAAGCCTGTACTCTGCATTTTCTCAAATATCTTAACTGCTTCATCCAACTGACCATACTTCCCAAATGTATCGATCATACCATTGTACATCCTCACGTCAGGTTCAATCCCTAGTTCATGCATCTCCACCACAAGGCTCATAGCCTTCTTCCACATGCCATTGTCCCTGTAAAGCCTTATGATTTTGCTATAAACGAAAGAATCCAACCAAAAACCCTTCTCCTTCATCTCTCCAAGAACCCACCAGGTGTCCTCTAACCGCCCGGAATGGACGTACGAATCCAGGAGGAGCAAGTAAGTCTCTCGATTCCGATCGATGCCCTCCTTGCCCATCTCGACCAGCAAGCGATCAGCCATCAAGAGCTGCCCTTTCCTCAAGAACCCGCCGAGGAGTGCGTTGTACTCCTTCGAGGTCAGCCGATGGCCGGACCACTTCATCTCTCGGAAGACGGCGTCAGCCTCGAGCGTCCTCCCCGTGCGCCCCAACGCGTAGACGAGGCGGGCGTAGCACGCCGTGCTTGGGCGCATCCCCGCCGCCTCCATCCGGCTCAAGAGGTGCAAAGACCGGTCAAGGCGGCCCTTTGCGCAGTGGGATTGGATCAAAGCGTTGTAGGATTCCCGCGAAAGCTCTTCCTTCTCGTTTTCTCGACCGACTCCATCATCAAGGTGATCTTTTGGGACCAAGATCGATTTTTTCGGTGCGACAGCAGCGAGTTTGCGTAGGTCGCGTCGTCCGGGCGGGGAAGAAGTGAAGCCACGAGGGAAGGGATTAAGAAGGGAGGGTTTTAGGGGGAATCCGATAAGCGCAGCTTCCATTTCCACTCGTTCTGGATTCAACTCATATTGGTTTCTACAGAAATGAGAGGCCAATGGAGAGACTGAGAGCGAGATTTATGGAGCGAAGCAGAAGGAGCACGAAGTAGCCACCGGGGAGGATATCTTTACTTAACGGCAGACGGCCCCGTTCTAGTCGCGAAACATGACGTGGCGAACACTGACGCGGCAGGACAGGGCGGGGCCCATAAGTCCCCTTCACGTGGGCCTATGGTGTCTTGAATCGTGCCATCAGCCGGGTCCAGAATAGCTGCTCTTCTTTGGCTGACTGCTGCTGACGTGACTTGGCGGGAACGTTAACGGATCGTATCATACGACCCGAATCCGACAAAAACCGTGACGGTCCGATTAGTTTATTGTAACGGTTTCGGTAGAGGCCAGTGTGAGAATGTAACGGGCCATTTATAACGTTGATTTGGACTCGCAGTGCGCTGTTCGCACATCGTTTTCCCGGCGAGATCAGAAGCCAAACATGTGGCGATGGCTCCGCCGCAACGGGGAGCAAGGCGCCGATTCAATCCACCTCCCTCCTCCCTTTCCCTATCCAAGTCTACCTTCAATGCACCTCGTTTGTTGTCGTCAATTCCTCGTCTTTTTAATCTGCCGCTCGCAAGGACGCGGCTTGCTCTGCCAGCAGGCATCGAGCTTCTCGTGGTCCCCGGTGAGCAGCCATGAAAACCCATCGCCTCGTACTTCGCCGTTCCGGAGGCCTGATGCCATCCGGAATCCCGAGCAAGCCGAAGCTCGGCCTTAGAGTTCTCGGAATCTTCTCGGCGTGGCCGAGGCTTGCGTCCTTTGCGCCCGTGAAAGCCAGCTCGGGCGTCGGGGACACCTCCGTCTCGCATTCGACCATCGTTCCCGCTTCCGCGGCCGAACCGGGGCATCGAAGGGATCCCGTGCTGGGTTCTTTGGAAGTTGATGACGTGGAAGAGAAGCTCGAAAAGGCGAGATCTTTCTCCGTTTGGCTTGATGTCGCCGCAATGGTTTTGGAAGAAAAGAAAGTGCCTTATCAGTCAAGATTTTTCCTTGCAGGTGATATATAGGTGCCGATTCTTCGCGTTCCTCCCGGTGGCTGGTTCTCTGATGGGTTCCATAATCTGTTTTCTCAAGGTATGGTTGGACTTCATTAGATTGCTTCTTTGTCCGCTGGTCGATCTTTAATTTGCATGACAGGTGTTTGTTATTCGGTCGTCACCGACTCTCGAGTAATTAGAAGTGAAAGATACAGGTGCAGCCATAGGATAGGAGGTGTCAACTGGGCCAGGGGTTCTGAAATAACTAACCATACTCCATCCTACTCCGCGATAAAAGCTAATTTGGATGGATATCCCATAAAATAGACAAACAAAAAGAATTTGGATGATTTATATGTCCAATCTATCACAGGAAAGGTGTCCATATGAGTTGAATTTTTGCAACCATTACTTGAATAACTTTTCCTTTTATTGATCTACTAATTTATATCATGTATTAATCTATATTTTTTCTTTTAGTTGTTCAGGTGACTTTAGTTGTGGGATCAATTGAGCAACACTAGATATGCAATTTTTCATGGTCTTCTATAGTAAACATTGATAAATGTTGCTAATTTCATTTACCAAGATGATGCCAGAGCAAATAGGCAATCTTTGGTTCATCAATAAATTGTCAATATTCTTGCTGTCATGGAAAGCATACGTCTTCTGAGAAGAGCAGCTGAGATTGTGGCCAAGAGATTCAGGGCTACATTTCTTTCGATAACTGTAGACTCTTTTTAAATGCCTCATATGAGGGTAGTTCAATTTGATTATATGTAACTGAATTCCTTTTCTGCATGTTTGTTGTTCTAGCTGTCCTCAAACTTGTTGTTAATGGAAGGACTACCTAGTCGATGAGGCCCCTTCTGTGAGATGGGAAAGCACGATACCTATGCAGGGTTAAGTTTGCTTGCCAAGAAGAACTACGACTCAGAATTTTAGCACTTAAGTTTCTCTGGTCCAACCTCACCATGGCTCCAAGGCTTACAACATTGAATTTTGTATATTAATATCAAATTGTCTTCACTGAATTATCTTAATGCATTGAGTATTACCACTTTCACAATGTTATGTTAATTATGTTTATAAAGTTTTGAGACAGTAGCGTGCAGTATTATGTGCTTTAATCAAATGATTTGAGTACTTAACATTTAGCTTCCCTGGTTTAACTTCTTTGGACTACTTACAGTCTTTCTATTTGAGTACCTTAACTTCATATTGGTTGTGAATCATTTATGTTCTGATATTAATTTGTAAACATGGAAAACAAGTCCCACCTCGAAAGCAATGAATGCACAATGAATTTCTAAGACTGGGCATTACATAACCCTTTAAATTTGTTCAGATTCTATGTAGCTAAATTTACTTTCGGTTGCTTGGTACTGTATTTACGGGCAAGATGTCTTGCAGAAGGAAACCTTATCCTTTTTCATATCTAGGAGTAGTTTCATACCTTCTTGAAACAGTCAGCAATCTTAACAATACCAAGTGCTGTGCAGGGTTGCACATCTGTGATAGATTCATTCGGAGAATATTTTTTGAGTGGTGGGAAAGTGATTCTGATGTTGGTTGGAGCCATTGGTAAGACAATGTATATCCAAAAATGTATACACTTTGAAATAGACATGAATTGTTTCACACGCCACTTACTAGGAAGCTATCAAGTTACAGTTCTTAGTTGATTAATCATAACATACTATGTCATGCAACTATCAATAGGCAATTTTTAGTATTTCAAGTTTTTTGTCAAATGATCTAAATTTTATAGTGGGTGCTAATTTCTGATTCTGTAGTTCTTGAAAAGATAATCTACTGGCATAAATTACACATCAATTTTGTCATTATTCTGAACAAGTTGACCTCTGGACTTCTTATGACTGTATCAGTAACAATTTAATGGGTTTTTTAATTTCTCCTAGAAGGATTGTTTGAATATGACATTGGACATTGACATGCCATTTAACTTGTGCTGAAAACATTGTTATAATTTTCTGGGTGTTACCTTGATCATATACCAGAGCTTACATAGATAGGTTATTACTTGGTAGTTGAAGCATGAAGAAGCACATTCTCATGCTGGTCTGTTCCTCTAGAGAAATGTTGTCATTATAGATAGTTCTTAATCTATCACTAACCTTCATTTTGTTTCACCTTTCAGATGTCTATCTTATTGGAACTGTGATGCTTGTGTTTGGAATGGGTCTCTACGAGCTCTTCATCAGTAATTTTGATATAGCAAAAATGTCCTCCTCTGGATCAAACCTGCTTGGATTATTCAAACTTCTGGTTTGTCCCTTCACTCAATTATAGTTTAGATTTTAGATATCAGAACAAGTTACTAAATATCATATTGTTAATTTCTAAACTATTCTGGCTTTATTATGTTAAGGAACGACCTAGGTGGCTGGAAATAAAGTCAGTCAATGAATTGAAGACTAAGGTGGGGCACGTCATAGTGATGGCTCTATTGGTTGGGATGTTTGAAAATAGCAAGAAGGTCACAATATCTTCTCCAGCAGATTTACTATGCTTCGCAGCTTCTATTCTGCTGTCTTCAAGTTGCCTTTATCTTCTGTCAAAGCTTCATGCCACCAAATGAAGTAAGCACGCCTGAGGTAGCAGCTTAAGATGTATCCCATAATTTCCATTATCGTTTACTGTAAAACTGATGTATCTTTGACAGTTATCATATTATTCGTCAGACATAACTCAACTGTACATATTGCTTATGATGCACAATCTGTAGAAAAACAATAGATGCTTTTCAACTGAAGGTTTGTGGAAGAATTTGTCAATTTCAACTCTATAGTCTGTAAATTTAGGTTCAGATGAGTTACGCATATTAATAGGAATATACTGAAAAATCAGGAACTGTTTTCTCAGAGTCAGCTGTAGTCGTTTCTTATTTAATTTTTTTTCCTTTCATTCAATATTAGTCTAATCTTCTGTTTTTCCTCAAGGTCTAAATACTTCCTGCTCTATCCCCAAACATGGACATAATAGTGTATGTTATCTAAATACTTCTCTGTCCCCAAACATGGCCATAATAGTATCTAAGCGAGAGAACCTCCAATACTGTTGTATGATACCATGGGCCTCCAATTTATCTTCTTTGTATGAAACAGCAACAAGCACCCAGGATGTATGAGAGAGCTGGGACCCTGCCATGCAATACTACTAGAATACTAGACTTGTTGCCTCATTAAATAGAAAATAAAAAAGGTAGGTAATGGATTTTAAGGTAGACAAATTGTTATACATAGAAAGGGAATTTTATCTTGAGAATTTTTTTAATAGATCTGTCAGAAATCATAAAAAGAATTGTAGTGATTTTCTATCATGAAATATGACAAGACATCTTTGCACTAAAATCACTTCAATGGCAAAAACCCTGATCAACGTCCATCCTTAATTATTGTTCCATCTAAATTACTTATCCATCACATTATATCAGATCTCACGAATGGATGCTGAATTCTCAAGAAATCCGAAGGGTTGGCTGTAGAGAAACCAATTTTGAGATGTGAATCATGGATTGCTCAATACTGATCAAAGTTACTCATGTAAGCACTTTGATAGTCCGATAGTCCTTATAATGCTTAATAGACACTTTGTATAAGAAGCCCTGATCAGAACGCCAAATCAAGACAAAGATCTGACCTTTCGGTGGAAGGAGGCGTCGATCTGAGGAATTGCCGATGGACTTCCCCGTGAAGCGAAAAAACCCTATGGGGATTAGGGTTTAGATGACGGAGAAGGAAGGAAGGAAGCTAACTTCTCGCCGTTCGTTTCCCTCTCTCTCTCCGTGCTACTGAGACCATCCAGGAAATTGTTGCTGCTATCACTCAACTGTTCATTTAGAATACCAAAGTATAAGCACCACATTGCAATGCTAATGCATTGAATTGCAAACATCATGGTGTATAGTTGGTGGAACCATGTGCCTGACATCAAAAGAGGTCTCATCGATGATCTTTATATCTCCAAAATCCCTCTTTCTCTTTCAGAGATGAGAGAAAGGAAGAATCTTTTGTCAACTTTTCTTTTTTTCTCATCTTCATCCAGCCACAGAAGGAAAAGCAATTTCCTATTTTCTCCTTTCATACTAACTTCTTATTGGTTGAATCAAGGAGAGAGGTGGTCGGAAACAGATAATGTCATTTTCTTTCTGAAAGTTTTTTGTGTTCTTTCTCTACAGAATACACAGGTTTAAAGAGAAATGAAAATTTTGTGTTCTTTCTCCTCATGTTCCAAACAACAGAAGGAAAGTGGTCATCTCTTATCTTCTCATAAACTTTTGTTCTCTTCCACTTTTCTGTTCTGAGTAGTTTCATGCAATGCATCAGTATACTGCAATTGTAAGCAAAAAACTCCTGTTTTGTGTGTTTTATCTGTTGCCTCTTGATATTCTTTCTATCCAAAAAAAGGTGTATACATTTTTCTGGTCCTAAGCTTTCAGCCATGTGAATCATGGGCATGTGGAATGGCACCGTTCCCCTCTTCATCTGCCACTGATGACCAAGCATTGCATCAGTTTAAGGAATTCAGGACTAACAATTTTAGATGGTCGATGCTTGCAATTTTACACACCTGTCATCTTAAATTTTGTGTGGCATTCCTTCTTTGTTCAAACTCACTAGTCCACCAATCAATGAAGGTTAGGATATCCCCAGGTTGTCACTTGCAAAGTATAGCATGGAGGTGACCTCACAAGAAACTGATGGCTAGGAATATATGGGAAGTAAAATAACAGGTGATGCATTTGCACAAGTAACATGATGGGAACCTTTAAACTTCCTGAGTACAAGAAAGTAGTTGGATGTGGGTACTTGGGTAACCAATTATTACTGTGACCAGCAGATATGAGGAACAGGAAATTAGATCTTCTGAGAGGGCATAGAAAAATAATGGGATAAGTATGAGAGGATTTCAGTCAAACATGGCTAAGTGGGAAAGCTTACTTTTGGATGTGATTAGTGAAGAACATGTTCCTATTGATTCAGTGGAAGTTAGAAAACTTATTTTTATAGTTCAACTTGCTCAAAAAAAGATCTGGTTTATAATTTTTGGATTCCCATATCAACATTCCTCCTTAGCAAAAACTGTTCCTTCCATGTCCCATGTTAGATTACCTACATTATTTGGCATCTCAAGTTGGAGCAGCATGGCAAAGCAGATTGAATTGCAAGAAACGGTGGCCAGATTTATGAGTTTCTGCATTCCTACTCTCCTAGAATTCAAAACAAAACCTTCATCTGTACTTTAAAGAGTGGTATCCTGGAAGTCATTTTTGGTTGAGTTCAATCGCTTTTAACATTTGCACAATGGCAATTAAGTCTAAGAATTGATCTCTTACTTTGATCACTTGTGTAAAGTGGGGTAGACAATGAACATGTAATTGTTAGTGGTGCCACAGAAGCATGCCCACATGCTTGAGATCTGTATTCTCCTGAAGAATTTGGTAACCAAAGCTTAGTGTCCCAAAAACTTCTTAATCACAAAGGGGATGTTGGATTCAACACTATAATCTGGAAAATTGAAGCACTTTAACTAATGTCTAGTTGTTTTGTCATGATGGCCACTTGTTTTCTCAAAAGAACCAGAAACTCCTCTCACTTTGACTTGACTCTATTCCTGGAACCTCTGCTTTCACAAAAGGAAGATGTACCTGTGACACTGACATTAAAAGTATAATGTGACAAAACTTTAGTGTTTCCAGTGCTCAAGAGTACAGTTCACGATCTAATTGTTGGCGGCACAAGTATTCCAAAAACCACCAAGATGTTCTTGACCTCTTTCAACAAATAATAATAAGAATTTCTGGATCTCATGAAGATGGAGGCTGGTGTGTTTGTTTGTTGTGTGTGTGTGTGTGTGTGTGTGTGTGTGTGTGTGTGTGTGAGAGAGAGAGAGAGAGAGAGAGAGAGAGAGAGAGAGAGCGGTTACAAATGCATTTATGATCTGCTTGTTGGCACTTCTCTATGAGAAATTTACTTGGTATTATCAACTGTGTTAGTGAAAATTAAGTTGTAGGTAAGATAAAGCTTCCTCATCAAGAAATCCTTTTTAGTTTTTTTTAGGACTTCTGTCATTCATAGTGACAATAAGCTCCACAAAATAAGTCTAGTTCAAAGAGAACTCATTACTCTGCTTTCTTGTTCCCTTATGATTGTCATAATGTTTGTCCTCAAATTCCTGCAACTTTTTTCTTATATTCCTTTGGTTTCCACAACCTTAGTAATGAAATGATTTCAGTTTCAGTACTGAAAGCACCTACTTCATCTGGAAGACTTGTTTGCCATAAGTTCCTCCATCAAAGCATATCTCTTCAATGAAAAAATCAGATGCTTCAGTGGTACTCACCATTTTGGATCCATTCACAAACTCAGGAAATTGCTTGTCCTCCAATCCAACTGGCCTCAGCTGGATGGTATGTCCTATTCTTTTAGGTCTTTTGAATCAGTAGGCCATGAACGCAACTGTAGCCTTTGGATTTCTAAGCTTAGTGCAGTCTAATCAAGGACAATATTCCCTTTGTCATTTCACTTTGTGGTCTGGTCTCAACACATTGTACTTTGTTCTGGAAGTTCCACCTCAGATGTCTCCTGACACCTGACTATGAATGGAAAAGATACTTGGCTATCTTACTAAGTTTGCCAAACGAATCTATCCTAAGCCTGAAAGGATCTTGCTTGTCCTTTGTTTACTGATACAATTGAGACAGTGGGTCCTGAAACCCTAACAAGCAGGCCATGCTGCATATTTTCTGTTAGTGACTTGGCTTCACTATTTAAAGAAGGGATGTTGCAGCACTCATTCCACCTTGCATCCTTCCTACCTCTACCTTCAGTCTTGTGACTCTCATCAGTTCAGCAGCTGATCCTAACCCTAATCCATGGCTCTTTTGGCCAAACATGTCTCGCCTGTAGCAAAGCTGATCATTGCCATTCTCCTCATGCAGCTCTTCCACTCGGCTGAAGCAGGAACCCTAGAATGCAATGCATGGGTGGCCTCCAGCTGCGCTTCGACGGTGCCGAAAAATCCATGCCCCAGAAAGCTCCTCAAGGATATACATGGTAGATACTTGATGCAGTGGCAGGCACCCACCAACCCGGGACATAGCCCCAGTATCGGCCATGGCATCCCTCATAAGATCTGAATATGATATTATTCTGTTCTGGTTAAAATGTTGCATGAACCGGTGTGCTCCTGTTGTACGCGCATGTGATGTATTGCCATAGAGTCTTAACTTGTTTCCTATCATAAAGCTTCATGCAGATCTCCTTCTTGTCATCTGCGTAGCATCTCATGTTCTTACTTCATGTTTCCTCCATTGTGTGTGTGCATCTGTTGTTACATGAGCTTAAACTCTCCTTCTTGTCATCTGTTGTTTCCTACCGTAAAGGTTCATGCAGATCTCCATGTTGTCATCCATGTAGCAGCTCATGTTCTTCATGTTTCCTCCATTCTTTGTGTGCATCTGCTGTTACATGAGCATAAACTCTCCATTTGTCTGGAGGTTTTCTGCACAGCTCTCTCATCACATGAACTCATGCAGAGATTGCCCCTCACTTTCTAAAGCTTCAATGTTTACTACAACACCTATGTATACAACATATATGCAACTGCTGAAGGTTAACTTGGATCAACACCTTCTTAGCTGTTTCTAGTGCTAAGTTTATAGGCTATTTTGTATGTGCTTGATGTCTTCATTACAAATGAGTTATATCTCTCCTTTTTGTGTGTGTGGATGAATGGATCCTAACTTCCATGCATGCTTAGAAACAAGTGATAGAAGACAAGTATGCATGTTTCCTAGTTTAAGCTCAGGTGTCTTTGCTCCTCCATTTCCTTGTATGTTCATGTGTCATGGTTTAAGCTCTTATTTCATCATCACAATTTAAGTTAGTCTCTCTCTTTTTCTCTCAAATTGGACTTACCAACATTGACTTGAACATACAGAGCATCTCAAATTTTATCGTATAAATTTTATCGTATGTATGTATCGTATGTACATATATTTATACATACATATATATATTTGGTGTAAACAAAATGATCACGATTGGACAAGAAAACAAAATCAATATCGTAAATTTTTACGATAGAACAAAAATAAAATTTGATTAATTCCTAAGTGGTGGGGTCAGAGAAACATGCTTGTTTGATCCTCTGCTCTTTTTTTTAACCTGACTAATTATTTAAATATTTTAAAAATATCAAACGGGTATTCTGATGCGATTTTAACGGGTTGGATAGCGCAGGTTGCTAAAAGAATCCGACCCGCTATCGAATGTATAAAGAGCGGGTGGATTCTTTCCATCGCGTGATAGGTTGGGAACCGCTTGATCTTAATCCGACGGTAAAATAAAAAAGCCCCAACCCCGTTGTTACGTTCCCGACCCCTAACCTCACCTCCCGATTACCAGGTTACCGCTGCCGATCCGTCTCCGACTCCGTCTTCTGCTCTTCTTCCCGTCATCGACGCCCGCCACCTCTTGTCGCCGGCGAGAGGCTTGCCGCCGTCCCACTTCCGCCGCCGCAGTCGACGTTCTTCGAATCGAGGACACGCGGCCCGAGTCGGTGACGTTGTCATCGTTCCACCCTCCAGCCGCTTGGATTTCCAACAAAGACAAGGACTTGCTTGCTCTTCCGACCATCAAGGTGCTATTTTTTTTTTTTCTTCTTTCTTGTGGCCCCAAACGACACGAGTAGTGATGTTTCTTGGAGAAGAAAGAAAACAGATTTGTGGTTATTGAGCAAAGATTTGAAAGCTATTTGATCATAATTGTACGAGTATGATCTGTATCAGGCGATACATCATCTTTGAGCCTTGAAATTCGTCATAATCCAATGAATTCGGGCAGCTGCTCTCTTTGTGTATATTGCATCGAGTTGCCCTAGGAACTCTGCAATGATTTTATAGTTCATCCATCGAGTTTGACCTCAGAGTCCATCAGAAACTTAATTCAGTAAACAAACCAACTAATGGCCAGATGGTGGGATGGGATAGCAATTCTCAATCGGAGCTCTGGGTGAAGATCGATTAGAGTCCTACGCTTGCAAGCGTAATGAAGTTTATCAAAGATCATGTGATGAGGTTTATTTTATGTGGTGCATTTAAGTCTTCATATATTAAGCGCATAACAAAAAGGATGAGATAAGATGTAAAAATTACATCCAACTTTTAAACGCTTTACGAGTTAGCAGTAGTGAATCAGTTGTGTTTATGAACACTTGTTTTTAGCCTATTTATTTTTTCTTCTTCTAGGAGTTGAGTTAATTGCTTCAGAGATGGGATAGTTTTTGGTCTGTGATTCTGGAACAATGGAGGGAACATTAAGTGAAGATGATGGATTGATAAGAGACAGTAGTATGGATCTGAATGACAGTACGAGTGACCCTCACATGGCATTAGCACTTGGTGCTCTTGGAATTGAGCTGAACTTAGATGGTCCTGACATTGGGGAACCGTGTATCGGAATGGAGTTTGACTCGGATGAAGCTGCAAAGGAATATTACATATCTTATGCTAACCGTGTGGGTTTTGGGGTCCGCATGAACAAATCGCGTCGCTCGAGGAAGGATGACACTGTGATCATGCGGCGCTTTGTGTGCACAAGGGAGGGGTTCCATTCAAAGAGGGTAATCTATGATGACGGCAAGAAGAAGAGGAAGAGAGGGACGACAAGGGAGGGCTGCATGGCAATGATCGAGGTGATTCGTAAGGATCATGGCAAATGGGTTGTCACGAAGCTCATTACCGAGCACACACATATGGTGGCATTCCCTGGTAAAGTTCAGCCTCGTGTTGACAATTCTATTATCCAAAATAGCTCAGGTTTGTTGCATGCAACATCAAGTGGAGGATTTGGTAATTTGAAGAACTTCAATAGAGGAATCAGAGTCAATCCCTTTGGGGAGGGAGGAGAAGCTGAGGGCCTCTTGGAGTATCTAAAGAAAATGCAAGCTGAGAATCCAGCTTTCTTCTATGCGATTCAAGTTGACAACAACAATTGCATGACCAATGTCTTCTGGGCTGATGCTAAAGCTAGGATGGCTTATCAGTATTTTGGTGATGCTGTGACATTTGATACAACATATAAGAAGACAAAGTACATGATGCCGTTTGCAACATTCAGAGGCGTGAACAATCATCTGCAGAGTGTTACTTTTGGGTGTGCACTACTCATGGATGAAACTAAGGGTTCGTACGTTTGGCTTTTTGAGACATGGCTTTCAGCCATGGGAGGACACCATCCAGATACATTAGTCACCGATCGAGATAAGGCCATGGAAGGAGCTATTACAAGGGTATTTCCAAATGCGCGTCACTGGTTTTGCAACTGGCACATCCTGAGCAGGTGCAAGCAGAGGCTGTCTGATGTTTATCTAAAATATGCTACCTTAAAGAGGGATTTGAAAGAGTGTATTAACCACTCTGAAACAGTTGAAGAGTTTGACACTCGGTGGGAGTTGATTCTCGATAAGTATAACCTTTGGGATAATCCATGGCTGCAGTCGCTGTATGACGTTCGGCAGCGGTGGGCTCCAGCTTACCAGAAGGGTACATTTTTCCCCGAGTTATCTGCATCTCAGCGATCAGAAAGCTTGAACAAGTTTTTCAAGAGAAATTTCAATTCAAAAACATCCCTACTTGTATTTATTGCACGATTCGATCAAGAGATGGCATCTCAGTATGAGAAGGAAGCTCAAGCAGATTTTGCTGCAGCCTATACTAAACCTCTTCTAAGAACTCCATCGCCAATTGAGAAACAAGCTGCCGAGGTTTATACAAAAGAAATATTTGACAAGTTTCAGGAGGAATTTATCGAATCGCTAGGTTATTATGTTGATAAAATAGAGGATGGCCCCAATAACAAGTACAATGTAACCAAGGAGGAGGACAATCGTAGAGCCTACATTGTCATTTTTAGTGAGCCTGAAAAGAAAGCAAGCTGCAGTTGTTACAAGTTTGAGAGTTCTGGCATTTTGTGCAGGCATATATTGAGGGTTTTCTTTATCGTTGGTATACGTGTACTTCCGGAGTATTACATCTTGAAGCGATGGACTAGGGATGCTGCAAGTAGTGTCATACTAGATGAGCGAGCTACTGAGCCTGGACTTAATTTTCAAGATTGTCTAGTTGCTTGGTATAATGATCTTTGTCTTGATGCTGTCAAATATGGAATTGAAGGGGCTATGTCTTCTGAGATATACAAGGTTGCTAAGGCTGCACTTCAGAAAGCCTTAGCTGAAGTAGTTGCTGCAAAAAACACACAAAGAAAGGGGCAACAGAATATGCAGAGGTTTGCACGGCTCCAAAAGATGCAATATAAAATGCCACTCCCAAAGTTACAGACAAAGAAGACTCCTGCAAGATCAACTCAAGATGAAGTTGATAGAAGTAAAAGAAGTGTTAAAGATGATTCTAGGTATTGACTATCACTGCACCACGTATTTAAGCTTGTTCCTTATTAGAAATCAAATTGATTCCTTTTTCTTCATTTTTCTTTGACTCTTAATTGTTTCAGAGATGCAAGTGTTACCAGTATGAATGGCGAAGCACACTGAAGAGTGATGCACTTTTATGGTGATTGTTCTCATTGATATATGATAGATTAGAACACTAGATCTTCTAACTTTGTTTCGAGGTATGGAATGAATTATGCTGTCTTGCTTGATATCTTGTTCTTAAAAGAATAGGTTTGGTCATGATTAATGGGGTAACTATCTGAGTCTATTCATTATGCATGATGTTTTAACATAAAATGTGCTTCAATTAGAAGGTTTCTTTAGCTTTTTATATTCTTTAGCCCATATATGTTAGAATGCTTGTGACAGTCTTATCTTTGCATCAGACTTATTCTTCAAGCTCTTAATTCTAGAATTATATGACACTGTTTTCTGAACAAATTGTCTCATCAAGGGAATTGTAGTTGCCCATACAAGTTGTGTTTTGTTAGAAAGTGCTTTCTTAGAAGTAGTTCTTATGTTAGGTGGACTTGGATTTAGTTCCTGGCTGTGTAAATCTAGTTGTAGTTACTACATGAATCTTTTGGGCTAATTACAGATTGCTCAATGTAGTTAGCTATCTTTAGCATCCCGATTCCTACACTTTAAAAAATTACAATGACATCCCTATAGTTACCAAAGTGAAACATCTTCGTCCATTTACCCTAACGACATCATTTTTACCAACGGAAACACGAAAATAAAAAGGTAAAAAGATAATTTTAACATTTGGTGGGAACTCGGTGGTGGCGGATGGCGGCGCTGCCCCCAGCTCACGTGCTCCAAATCCCGGACGCCAGCCCCCTCCATCCTCCATCATAGTCGTCGTCATAGCTGGTGGAGTCTCTGCTCTGGTGCCCATTAGTTGGCCGCTAAATCTCTTGTCACGACTAGTGGCTCCCGGGCGTGCCACCGCGCTCGTCCTCGTAGCCGACGGTGAGGGCCTCATCGCCGTAAAAGCCCCCGGCCACGGCGAGGGCCAGCTCATCGAAATTGGTTGCATACGTGGGTGCCAGGGGCTAACGGCTGATGGTCGTCGGTGCGGACTCCACTAGTTGCGACGATCCAGATGCAAAGCGACACCACTCTGGATCTATGTCAACGCCGATGCAGATGCAGAGCGGCGAAAGGGTTGCTCGTCGATAGGTGATGTCGGAACTGATGCAGCAGCAGGGGAGAGGCAGGAGCTCCAGCAACCCTAGCTTCGAGTCAAGGCTAGGATTCGTCCAATGGGTCAGCGACGCCACCCGCCTCCACGAAGAGCGCGTTGCTGACCTCATCACCGCCCATCCCGCGTCGTGCGAAATCTGCGTTGGCGCTGATGCAGATGTCGAGCGGCCCTTTTGTCGCTTGGAGACTACGTCGATGTCAATGCAGATGCAAAGGGAGAGGGATCAAGCTCGAGATTCGCCCAACGGGTCAGCTGCGAGGCGGCCACCATCTTCGTTGCAGCATTCGATGGTGGACTTGGTGGTGGTGGATGGCGGCGGCGCCCCTAGCTCACGTGCTCAAAATCCCCAATGTATGTCGCTCTCCATTTGTCGTCATAGTCGTCGTCGCAAATAGTGGAGTCTACGACGTCATCCATCAACCGTCGACCCTCGGCACCCCCAGATGCAGTCAATTTTGATGAGTTGGCCCCCATCTTGGCCGGAGGCTTTCACGACGATGAGGCCCTCACCGTCGACTACGAGGCCGAGCACAGTGGCACAAATAGAGCCGCTGGCCATAGCAGGAGATTTGGCAACCAGCTAACGAGCGCGGACTCCGTCAGCTATGGCGACGAATGGAGGGGGCTGGCGTCAAGGATTTTGAGCACGTGAGCTGGGGGTGGTGCCGCCATCCGCCACCATCGAGTTCTTCATTGAACGTTAAAATTATCTTTTTACCCTTTTGTTTTTGTGTTTCTGTTGGTAAGACAAACGTCGTTATGGTAAATGGACCTAAATGTTTCATTTTCGGAACTATAGGGATATCAACGTAACTTTTTAAAGTGTAACGATCGAAACGTTAAAGACAGCGTAATCTGTAATTAACCCGAATATTTCATGTGAGCTTGAAGCATATACTAATATGCCTGCCTGCTAGTTGCTTGCAAACATTATCATGCAATCATTTTTGGATATCTGAAGTACTTCTTTATTTCATTTTAAGATGTCTCAAGTTAATTTTACCATCATCGTGCTGTTGGAATAATTTTATCGCTGTGCATGTTTAGATTAATCCGACAGTTTTGCATCTAAATTTTGGTCCATTATTTGTTTGATTTACAAGTGTGCTTCGCGGTTTTGTTTTCCCTTGACAGTGCACTATTTTTTTTTTCACTGGATTTTCGTGTAACCAAATTGCTTATAGAGATCCGAGAAAATGCAATAGCACCCAATTTGTTTGATGGAACAACTGATACAAATTCTTGGAAGCTGTTCTGATTCTGTTTCTAATAATTGGATAAAACGTTCTTTTGCACTCAGGCATATATATATATATTCTGATAACTACTCTCGGAGACAGACGGATGTCATGGGGACGATGCAAAGGTTGATAGTTTTCAGAATATTGCTGGAGTTTTATTGTAAAAAGCTAACCCCTTGTGGTATTATCTCATAACTAGTAGTTGTCGGTGAAAGAAAATTTCCACCCAGTGTGAGTCTGCAAAAGATATAATCTTCCCTTTGTTCATGGATGAGTTGATAGCTTCTGCCTCTGTTCATTTTACTTTTTTGCTTTTGTTAGAGAGTGTTGTTATGTATAGGCATCTTATCTTGATTGGGGATAAAAGACTGATAATATGATGATTTGGAAGGATCAACAACATACGCACAGTCAGTCGAATGACTGATAATATGATGAGAAAATATATCTTGACCATTTGCTAAATCATACATAAAAAAAAATTTATTATTCTTTTTTCTACTTCTCTGCCAAGAACCAGAATTATATTTTTCTCTAAGCAGAATTATATTCTCTCTCTCTCTCTCTCTCTCTCTCTCTCTCTATTACATGAACTTCATCCCGAGGATTTCATTTTCATCACTCACCAACTCAATTGTGCTTGAAACATGTTACCTAGTGACCTACAATAATCTTTCCCTGTACAAGGAGGAAGCACACCACACACACATCCATCTCAACAACACAGAGATCCATCCTTGTCAATCTTGGGGCAATCTCACCTTGACAACTGTGTTGCTGGGCACTCTCACTGTTTGCCAAGATTCAGAACCGACCGAGACCAAGTCAGATTATCTATGATTCAAATTGATGATGGACTTGGGGACTAACATCACAATTGTTGCAAGTGAGCCTGTGCTTCCCTCCAGTAAATTTGACAAGAAAATGCAGATATCCAATGCATCCATAGTTATCACACTAAATGATCGATCGATTAAGTGTCATTCAACCTATCAAAATTTTAAATTCCAACATACCATGCAGTAAAGCCAATTCCTTTTATCTTGATTTTGACCATCCTACTGGTCTACATCATAAACCTACATGCATCATGGGTGTGACCTTACCCTGATTCCAAACTAATAAGATAACGAGTTTCTTGTGGTTTCAGAATATTACAGATCAATCTCCTTGTTCAGCAAAACTTCAAAGCAGCTTCCAGCTCCTTCTCATCATCACAATTGTAACCAAGCAGATATGCGCGTGCTGTCCAAAAGAGTAGAGTCGGCATGGTTAATGAATTTTCCCAGTGTGAAACTAATCTAGCTTCCGAAACCCTAAATCCAATAGAACTGAAGCAACCTAAGAGTCAAGAGAAATAAATAGAAAGAAGGGAAAAGTAGCAGTATCATTTATCACCAAAACGTCCGGATCCCATGAAAGGCTCTGCTTCATCTACCGCACCATCTTGCTGTTGCTCCTGAAATTTCAAGAAACAAAAGACCACCAGTTGCTCAGTTACATGAGAGGATAACCCCAAACAAGCCAACAAATCTCCTTCAGATTAGGCAGACAGAATCCCACTACCAGTGCCACATCATGTGCTCGACGGCATAATAGGATTAAGTAGTACATTGCACACCCGTAAATCCAACTACTTCCGCTTGCTATTATACTGCTTATTTATATTTGCACCTCAATTCTCATAGTATCTATCTATACCATTGAAACCGACAAGCTTTAAATTACGATGAATAATAGAGATAATATACTGTATGAATGATACAAGTCACTCCAGCTCAGAAACATCATAAGTGAAAATGTAACAATAATAATACATGGCTAAATTGACGAGCCAAGTTTTCATAGTTAGTCTTATGGAAATTTTGCTTCCCTCGAGCTAGGTTAAAGTAATGGTTTTACCAGGCTTAGATGGCAAAGGGTATAGGAGGTTGTAGGAAGCAGGAAAGTCTTGGATTGGGATTCAGAGAGCACTGATTTGTGATTGAGAATAAAAGAGCAGGTTGAAGAAAACATGTAACGATCAAGAATATTATTGTCATCATGCTTGATAAACACAAATTTCAATCATTTTCCAGGATATACATTGAGTCTTAGCAGCAAGACTGTTGCTAGATGAACGCGATGATGTCAAAACAAGTCTTAAACTGTGGGTCTGTCACCAACAAAATTGATTCTCTAAATGAGTTGTTGTTTGAGCAAAATTTGGAAATCACAAGCTTTTCAGGAAAGTCATTTTTAAAAAAGTTTAAAAGTCGCTAGATACCTAGATCGAGTATATAAGTTCTAAGGAGATGATATTGGCAGTCTTATTATTTTTAGGGGGAAAAAATTTATAACACTTACATTCTCAGAGGTAACTAATTCCTCTTCAGGAGAGAGCAATCTATCAAAGCAGTGACCAGATATAGTGCATACAAACCCACCAGACTGACGATCCACGACAACTTCTCGGCAAGCATCATCACAGACTACAAAGAAATAAACCTCAATCAGGTGGCAGCAGACCTTGAAACAAAGAAAAAAAGGGGGGAGGGGAGGTATTCATACCATGCACACGACCGGTCCTCTCACAGATAAATACATCTCCAATATGGGAGTAAGAGCATGTATTTCCAGAACAGATATGACCAATTGCTGCATCATCAGTTAAGCCTCTACGGCTTTTCCAAATGGACACTTGATCAGCCACTGTTCTATCAAGCATAACTCGATCATCAACCTTAACAGAGCAAAAGAACAATTAGCTTTTTCGAAATCATATATTCCAAGTCCAGCCCCACGATGACAGGAGGCTATATTATACCACTCAGCCATTTCATGATATGCAGTTGTAGTTCAAAGCAAAATGACCATACAATTTAAGAAGACAAATAGCAGAAGACGGGGTCCTTTTACTTGTGATGGAAGAGGTGCTTGGCTTCGTTTTGCTGCCTGCATTTGAATGTAGTACTCCCTAAACTCCGATGGTGTGTTCCATACAAATCCTTTCATGTCATCTCGATCACGCTAAAAAAAAAGGTAGTTGGTTTCAATAATGCTATCAAAACTAAATATTAAATCAAGACCTAATACCATAATTAGTAGCAGACAAACTAGAGCAGAGACTAAATTAGTGAAATGTAAATACATGATGGTACATCTTCTTGACCGTTTTCTTTTGAAGGTCTGAAGCTCCTTCTGATGCACCCTCATAAGCATGAATGCGTTTAAAGATGATGGTAAATATTTCAGGCAAAACGCAACCATGCAAGTTCTAAATAGTTGGTTGCCCTCATGAAGATAGCAACATGTCATAGTTGCAGACATAATGAATATCCACTCAAGTGAATCTGTTATAGACAATTTACAAAACAGACAATTCACTCTCTGTATCTAGTCTGATACTACTTGGAAGACCTGATTTGTTCAAGTGAACAAAGGAATCTCATCGCTTTCTTTATTATTTATGTAACTTTCCATAAAGTTACAACTGCAGGCCAAGGCTAGTTACAATTAGGAAGCATGAAAACAGTTCTTGTGGTTTCAAAACAATGTGACGTCAATAACTTTAAGGTGATTGTGCCTGAACATATGGATTACAGTTCTTGTGGTTTCAAAACAATGTGAAGGACAATTTCCGGCTTTGGGATTTGTGCCTGAACATATGGATTACAGTTCACCAATTAAAAGATAATTGCATGGCGAAGAAGATAAAATCTGGACCTTGACCTGAATATATAGCTTCTTCCAAGCACATGCACGAAACTTCCCCTTTGAAGAATCCATACCCCATCGCATGCAATACCTGCAAATTATTCAAAAAATATATATATATAAAAAAACATTTTGCTGCAATCCAATATGACAAACTTCAAAAAAGAGGGGAAATGACGAGATTTTGCTCACAGGCGGCGCCAGAGGCTCTCATCTGAGGCCGCAAAACTCATGAACTTACAGACGAGAGCACACGAAGTAAGGTCCTGCCATTGACAATAAACGAATCAATCCAAGAAACTCACTAGAACAAAGCATACGAGGGTTTTCTTTTTGGAAGAAAATTGAGAATTTCCACAATACCTCGGAAGAGAGGAACTTGAAGATGTGATGGAAGAGCTCAGGCGGTATCTTGCTAAAGATCCCCGTTTCAATCTGCCTAGGACGAAGAGGAGGAGGCGGCGGCAGCCAGGAAGCGTTATTCCTAATCTCCTGCCGCGAGCTCTCCTCCTCGATGCGCGGCCTCTTCGACGCCCTAGCCGCCGACGTCTCCTCCTGAGATCGTTCCAACTATTAAAGCGCGTAAAAGAAGCCCTAAATCGGATCCAATTCGTCCCACCACAGAACCCTAGATATCGCAAAGAAGAAGAGGACCTGGTCACCGGAGAGGATCTCGGACTCGAGGAAGGACGCAAGTACGACGTCGTCGTCGTCGTCTCCGCCAGCGGCCTCCCGATCCGCCATGGCTGACCGGAACCCTAGAAAACAGATAAGAGACGAAGGCGAGAGGTGCGGACGATTCGAAGCCGTCGGTAAACGGAGACAACAGAGGACGGTGCCTGCCCGAATCCGACTTCCTTTACGAGCGTGTGTTACGCATCGTTATATCAGATCCTGGCCGTTGGATGAGGTGCCATCCTGACCGGTGAACGGGAAGGAGACGTTCGATGTCGCCCGCATGATGGCCGCGTAGGAATTGACGGTGCGCGATCGACAGGAAAAGATACAGACCGACAGCCCGGAATGGGCCCGTCATCAAACAAAACTGAGAGGTCAATTTGTAGGTTGGCAGATTGGGTCCTGCAATTGTAATTAGATTAATTTCGCCCAAATCCACTCAATAGAAACCTGATGAGGTCCGTCCGTTATGGCTGGCCGGCCCACCACCCCGCTTGCTCCGGGCATGTGGCGACCGCCTCTAAGCTGCCTTGCCTATTCCATAAGCAATATAACCTGCACCAGATAAGGACAGTAACCAAAGAAGAGCATTAGCCATGATTGAATTCAACTCACTGCTTGGAGCAAGTCTCAAGGTTCATTCCCTCATCCGGCCATTGGCCATTGGCCATTGCTCCATTCATTAAAACACTCAAATCTCACTTTGAGATTGTCTTGGATCATCCCCCCATGTTCCAAGGCAAATCTACACTAAGATAAAAAATACATGCTCACAAGAGTCCTTTGCAACTTTGATAACCATGGGAGTCTTTTCCATAATAGTTTCCATGAAAAATGCTTATCATTGGGTCTGACTTTGAGGCTTCACATGACTTTTCCATCCCTTCCACACTCTATTTCACCATATAATAAAGCAATATCTTATTTCCAAGAATCAAAGGCACCCTTCTCTGTCCACCTAGATTCATATTCATGGCCAAGATGAACCATATAGAGGAAATCCATTCATTTGGTTCACTACTTGACACCTCAGTATTATCACCAAGGATTTAACATAAACAAGAACACTTCAGCATGGGAAAGAGTTGAATAATCAGCTGATAAAAACCCTGTCCTGTACATGGAAGAAAAGAATTGGATAAGACTAAACAGTAGGTATGCATCAGAGCAACAAAGGGAGATTAAAGGAATAATGTTTGAACATTCTTGTCAAGGCAAAGACAAAAAGAGCATAGGGAAACAAAAGGGAGAGTAGAGGTTTGCATCAGATATATAACAAAAAAGAGAAAAAAGAAACAGCAATATTCTTCTATCTTCAATACTCACCTTTGATTTCCAAATGCCCCTTCCCTCACCCATCTCTCAAGCACATAAATATAAGTCGAAGACTCCAAGTATACACCTTCATCAATGTAAATTAATATTAGTCCAAAAGCCATTACTTTGGTTTGATGGACAATCACATATGAATGCCCTTGGCTCCTGTACCAATACTTGTCACCATGATAAAGTTTTGACATCTGTAAAATCAGATGTGCTTGTCAAAAAAGTAGTAGAGCAAGGAGTTTCATCAAATCAGAAACATGAAAACAAGATCCTAATAGTCTCCAGTGCAGCACCATGTTGATCCTATAATTAGCTTGCAAAAAAGAGCAGCCATACAGTAAAATCTCATCCTATTGATTTAAATTTTACTACCTTGTGAAAACACATTGGCATCATTATGGTATTCATAAACAAGCTCCCTTCCATTAACATTTGAATATTCACAAAAAATTTGTTTAGGGCATGGGTGAGATCACAGCTGAATTATCAGCATACAAACAAGTAAAGCACAGATCTTGTATATATATCTTTCTTTGCTTACTCTCAACCATTGGATAAACATATTGAAACTCAACTGGATATATAAAGAAGACGATTCCCCTAACAATTTTGAACAGCATACTCATATAAACAAAGTCTAATAAAAGAATACAGAGAAACCGAACAAAGTTTTCAACATCACAAACAATATGCTGAAGCAATTATCTGTCCTAGAAGAAAAATATGAACTTGCTTACAGCGGGCAGTTCCACTAGCACACACTTCCGTTAAGCTAGTAAAATTTGACCTAATTGGCTTCTGTAAACAACAAAGAGAGTTACAATATATATGTATATACATATACATATACATACATAGCTGACCCCAGTTTCGGAACTGGCGGTTCCAGTTCAGCTGCATTTGAAACCGAACCGATTCCGGTTCAAGAGCCATCGATACTAGTTCGGTTCCGAACCACCTATTTTATTTTTCTATTTCAAATCTTTCAAAATGCCCCTCCAACTAGCCGTTTATTAATCTATTGGCATGACATCATTTACAAGAACATTTATTCTTTTTAATTTTTCTGCTCGATTCCGACCGAACCGGAACCGCCGATTCCGATTCCAATCCGATTCTTGGAAATTGAACTAGGACCAAATCGAACCGAACTGAATCACTCATGTTCAAAACCGGCAAATCGTTGACTTAGTTCAGTTCCGGTTCGAACCAAAGCTGACTAGGGCAACCAAGGATCAAGATGAGAGAAGCCAACATAATAATCCCTGTGAAACAGCACATGCATTGACGCTAAGGACAAGAAAGCAAAAAAGGCATGATCAAAATGGAAACTTTATACACCATCCAACCGGCCATTTTCACAAAGCAAGTTGACAGGTTGCTTTTGTCGTAAATTGAACATTTTCAAGTAATAGCAAACTGAGAAACTAAGAGAGTTTAAGTGAAGAAGAAATTGACACTATTAGATAGAGAGTCAAGTAGATGAAGCAATATCCGGATTATATGACCGATCATACACGACTAAAAGGAAGAAGGGAGTTGGAAATCGACCTGAAGCTGGCGGACATTGATGTACTCTCAGATCATCTTCACGGCCTCGGCCGCGCGAGATCTCCGGGACGCCGAGGAGCCTCCTCATAGCCGGAAGATATGGAGCGGCTTGGTGAAGCCGCCGCCGCCGACTACGATTCCACCGAGGGTCCTGCAGCCCCGGAAAACCCTAGACATGGCTCTTCCCCTTCCCCTTCTCTCGCTTTGGATGTGATCGAGGGGGCAATATAGACGGTGGTGGGACGAAGCCTCCGACTCGCGTTCTCAGGGATGGACGAAATCGGACGGTCAGGATTGTCTTGGCCCCTGTCGAACATCACCATTACGGTTCCCTCGCCCAGTAGGTGGTTTATGCTGGGACCCACATAAGATACAAATTGGAGGTCCGATATGTGAGGATCCCAACCCAGATCCGATCATTGCAATAAACGTTTGTTTCTTTACTAGAATGTCTTAAATCGAACCGGGTCCCATCTCTTCAACCCGCATGTATAACTCCGACCCGCTCCCTTTCTCCATCCCACAACCAGAGCCAGAGGCGGGCGAAGCGTGCCCGAAGCAGAAGCAGAGGCAGCGCTCCTCCCGTTCTCCGTTGCCTCGTCTTCTTTCTCCCCCCTCCGACCCTTTCGCGCTCTCTTGCGAAACGGAAAACGCAAGAATATAAAGAAAATAACTCCATCGGCAACTCGCATTCTTTCAAGCGCAACACATAGCTCCCGCCGATGACGTGCTTGGCGCCGCAGTTCAAATCCCCATCCTCTTCCTATGCGATGCACAATTCAGGCCCCCTCTCTTCATTCCTTTCACCGTAAGTGGATCCCCTAATGTGGCTTCTTTGCTTCCTTTGAAACTAATATATTTTGCCCCTTAAAGACGTCTTCTGCTTTTACTTGGATTACCTACCTCTTGCTTTTCTAGCGTCAAATCTTCGGCAACTTCAGTGTGCGCGTTGCGGCTTCGGTGCTTGTTGAATTGCCTGAATGACATGTGGTGGTGAAATTCTGGCTTGCTTGTTGTCAATTCAAGTATTGCCGCTTGTAGTTAATTCTTTGATCTCTTGATTTTCCCGAGTAATCGAGGCTCTTTGTTTTGCTTATTTTCTCAGCACTGTATTAATCTAAAGTAAAAGACTCAGATTTTGAAAGGTGTAATTCGATCTTTAATGTGGCTTTCTTGATTTTAAGTCATGCTCTATAGGTGACCTCTTATTAGCGGACTAATTACGTATTACCTCTTATAGTTAGACCTCCTTAGCATTTTGATACCTGAACTTATTATATTAGAATCCTTATAATTATGAAAGTGAAACATCTAGGTCCATTTATCTTAACGTCATTGATTTTATCGATGGAAACATGAAAACAATGGGCAAAAAAATAATTTTAATATTTCACTTAGTGGTGGTGGATGGCGGTGTCACTGGGGGTCACAGGTGGCTGCTATGGATAAGGAGACTGATGGCAAGAGAAGAGGGCCTCTATGCATCTGCGTCGATGCTGATGCAGTTGTCGAGCGATGCTGCTCGGCATTTGCATCGACGCTAATGCAAATGCCGAGCGACCCTTTTGCTGCTCGTCAATTGCATCGACGCTGATGCAGATGCACAGCGGTGAAAGGGTCGCTCGGCAACTACGTTAGCATCAACGCAAATGCAGAGCGGCCCTTATTTCTCGCTACCACTCTCCTTATCCATAGTAGCCACCTATGACCCCCAGTGGCGCCATCGTCTCCCACCATCGACGGCATCCGCCACCACCAACTGGAACGTTTAAAATACTTTTTTGCCCATTATTTTTGTGTTTCCATCAATAAAACTGATAGCATTAGGGTAAATTAACCTAGATGTTTTAGTTTCATAACTGTAGGGATTCCAATGTAAATTTGTTAAATCCAGGGACCATGATGTTAAGGAGATCTAACTACAAGGGGTAATATGTAATTAGCCCCTTATTAGTTGAGCAGAAGTGAATGATACCTAGGAGATAAATGAGAAATCTTGGCTCTTCTTTTGTTGCTTGGCATTGATGAAAAGAGTTGTCTTTGATGCAAGTGATGATAATGATTTTTTTAGAGACCTAATAACTGCTGTTGGCAAAGTAGTGACCACCTGTCTAACCAATTGCAAAAAGCTCTAGCATGTTTATGCAACATGATCCATTCTAGAAGCAACATCTTGGAATCTACTGGAACTCGCCAGTAACTGAGATAACTGATTGGTAATGAATATTCTTGTAGTTGCAAAATTCATAGTCCTCATCCTATGAATCTGGATGTACTTCATAGTTCATATACTCTACACAAGCTCTGAAAAATCATGTTTCCTTCCATGGAAAAAATTGTTGGTCTTCCCAGTTTTATTTGC